CATTGAATCCTCGTACTAAATCTTAATAGATGTTTATAATCATTGAATATATGTTTTAATTGAATTATGATAATAAGATTAATTTATTAACGAGTCAATATTGTTATATATACTTGTATGATCATGTTGATAATATTTTCATTCATCATCAATAATAATACTCGTTTATATTATTATTTCTTCAAATTATTTGATTAAATTTCAGTTCTTTTATTGTATATTTTTTTATTCTCAAATGATTAATTCATATAATTTAATAGTTTTTAGAATACATGTCCGATTAATATAATTAATTTATTTTTATTTTTATAATCTCTTCCTACAATATTCTATCTTTATTTAATAAAATTATTAAAACTGTACCCACCAAGTGCAGCCAATTTTTACACTCCACAAACTACGCTGATTAATCACGGTTTTTAAAGCTAATTAATACTATACCCCTTCGGGGACAGGGAATTGTCTTCATTATTTTTTACATCTCATTGAGTTGTAACAATATCAAAACTAAAAGGTTAAAATTATGATTTTAATTATTTTACGACACTGACGTGGACCTGTCTTAAAAGAGAAAATTTGCTTAAGTCACATTCACATTCATCTTATTTGTATTTGAAAGAATAAATTCAGTTTCAAAAGTTTTGTTCCGATAAATAAAAAAATCGATGTTAGTTACTAAATTATATCAAAATAAAATATTTATAATAACTTTTTTAATTTAAACATGATAAAATGATTAAAATTATTATCAAATTATAATTATATTAATTTGATTTTAAGAGTTGAATTTAATTGTAATTAAAGATGGACCTAAGTGAAGGAGGTGGAGCCACCCATTAAAAATTTTAAATGTTTATATATTTTAGATATTTTTTTATTAAAAATTATTTTTGACTCCTAAAATTTTATAAATTTGTTTTTGTTTCATTTTTTCATCCTTCAACATAAAATTATACGTTCATCTCTTATTGCAACCTAACATAGAAACAATAACAAAATTATTATTTTTATTTCATGTTATTTGTATACTTTTTTTTTAAATACTCACGATGAAAAAATTAAGTATTGTTCTGGATAATATATACTTTAACGAAGACAAAAAAAATATTCATTAATAATTAGTTTCAAATGGATTAATATAGATCCAGTAGAAAAAATTAATTAATATGTGAAATTTGAAGATTACAACTATATGAAAAATCTTTAAAAAGTAATGAGTTGTATGGATGAGTCTATAGTGCATGTCACACACCGATGTACACTACTATTAAGTAGGGTAAAATCTAGAGATGGTCATTAAATTATAATAAAAATATCTTTTTAGACATTTAAATTTTAAAAGTTATAAAATAAATATTAAATTTTAGATTTTGTTAAAAATATAAGCATTGATCCATAAATATCATAATATTTAATCTTCTTTGGTCCCTCAATTATGACTAAAATTTTATTTTGATATTTTTTAAATATTTTTAACTAATAATTTCACAAAAAATTAAATTTATTTTTAAAAATATATTTAAACTTATGCAAAAAATTAAATTATTGAATCTAAAAAATTATCAATTATAAATTTTATAGATTTAATTATAATTAAATAAAGCATTTACAAATTAATTTGATGAATTAAAAATTCATAAAGTTATAATTTTAGAAAAATGTTTTTATAATTTTAAAAATAAATTGTGAATTTCTATATATTTTTGAAAAAATGATTTTTAAAATTATTATTTAAAAATAAAAAAATATAGAAAATAAAATTTTATTCAAAATTGAGGGGTTAAATGGGAATTTTCTATTAATTTAGTATGTCATATCATTTCTTTAATAATATTTAAAGATGCATTGTCTATTTTATAAAAAAATTTAAAGTTTAGTATCTGTTATATAACTTTTGAAAGTTTAATATCCAAAATAGTTAATTTAATATAATTTAATGACCATTAAAATTTTAACCCTCTAAATTAGTGATCCACATCGGCACATGAACATGCATCGTAGAATTTTCCTGAGCGGTATGGAGTTTGTTAAATATCTGAAAAAAAGGCAAGGAATACGGAGAGAATCTTGAAATTCATTTTCTATAAATATTATCTATATGGGTAAATTACGCTAATGGTTGCTAACTTTTAAAATCTTCACTACCACTACTAAACTTTCAATTCACTTTAATTACGATCACTGTCGTTAATTGTCGTTAGAAAATGCTAACGTCGAGTCTTTTTCCTTAAAATTCTTTTTTCCCTCAAATTGATAGTCGTTATAAAAGTTGAGTTTTCGATGAATGGATTGATTGTCAGTCAATTTTAATGTTGGGAAGATTTTGTTTGACCAAAAAATTAACATAGTTCGATTTTAAGTTGATAAGATGAGATTAATAATGATGATTGAAAACTTTTAGTTTCTCGATTTGATTGGACCTCTTAATTCTTTTATCATCCTTTCTATTATCTTTCGATAGTTTCTTCGATTGAAAAGATCATTAAACTATTCTTCTTCCACTTCTATTTCTTTCTTTCTTTGGTTCAAACTCTGAGAAAACTTACAATCTCTTCAAATATTATCCAAAACTAAAAATTAGAACTTCGTAATATATTAATATCAACTATTGGATCAGCTTGAAAATAAAACCATGTTAATCTTTTCGCCAAACAAATTATTTCCATCGTTGAGATTGATCGATAATCATTCGGTTTATAAATTTTTTTTACGTTGATAGTGAATGCAAAATAGGAACATTAGATTATTTTGGAGGAAGAATTTAGTATGTTACATTAACATTTTTTGATGAAAGCTAATGACAATGATCATAATGAAAGCGAAGTAAAAAATTAATGATTTTAATGTTCGTTTAAAAACCAAAGTGAAAGAGACTTAAAACTTTAGTGACTACCAAACGTAGTTTACCATATATATATATATATATGTATATGTAGTTTCTGAAAATAAAAACCAAGGAGACAAAAATAACAAAAAAATGAGGGAGAAGTGAAGAAAAGCAGAGAATAAAAACGGACCGGATGTTGACAAATATGTCGCTGTTCTTAGAAGGTCGTTTGTGTGAAAGATTTCGTTTCTTATCTGGGATCTCTCTCTTTCTCTCTCTTACTTTCTCTCTCTAACAGCATCCCAAAACTAAACCGAAGCAATCTACTTTTTTTCCCTTTAAACATTCTCTCTCTAGAAACTAAATCAAAGTTCAGGACTTCAACAACTATTCGTTCTTTTTTTATTTCATTTTTTGTTTAAGAGAGAGAAGAGTGACCCTGTAGATCGAAATCTCCTGCTATTTGTTGTTCAACCTGATGATGATCTAAGCCCCGTGTTTCAAAAACACCCACTTGGTTGTAAAAGCTTTGTTTTTTTTAAAGATTTAATCTTTGTTGATAATCTGAGGAAGTTTGGGTTCTATGAATTGTCTATGATGGTGAAGTAAAACAGCTAAATCTACGAGAGGATGTGGGTCTAAGGTAAAAATTCTCTTCTTTTTCCCCATGTTAATTTGAGTTGTAGTTTTTTTTTATTCTTTATCTTATAATTTGGTTATTTGGAATCTCTTTTCCTTCTCTCAATCATTTATTTGTTCATTTTTGCCTGAGTTTTATTTTTTAAAGTATGATAAATTGTGGGGTTATAGTGGCTTTGTGATTCAGGTAATTGAACCTTTTAGCTCAACTGTAGTTTTAATTCTACTTTGTGATTTATGGGTTGGGGTTGTTGGTAATTTTGATGTTAAGATTTGGTACTTTGTCATATTAGTTTAGGTAGTAGTCACGTGGGATCTAGTCTATTAACTTTGCTTACTAATTTAGCATCTTAATGTCCCCATTTCTTCATAAACAGAATAAGATTTTGCCTTGTTCACAGGGTTCCTAAATTGTCTGCTTTTTTTGCACCTTTTTTTCTGCTAAATTGTCTTTATGTGGGAGTTTTCAATATTTATATTAAGTGGTGGTGTATTTGACTTACATTTTACTCCTAAATCTTGGTTTTATGGGTCTACTTTTTGTGGCATTAGTTATGAATTTATGATTTGATACCTTTCCATAGATGTAGGGCAAAACGCTTTTTGCAATTTAGCTGGAACTATGTATAGGAACTATTTTAGTTTATGGACATATTCTACCAAATAAAGGAGTGATGATTCACAGGTTTTGATGGCTATATTTATGGAACATTGTTGATGTTGTAGCACGCATCATTTTAAGTAGGGATAACATCAACGAGGGTGATTTTCAGGTAGCCTGGCTCGGCCTTATTAATTGACTGTGTCCTTTATTCTTGTGATGGTTTGTAATACTTCCTTTGGGTTGCTGTTGAATTCTCTAATCAACCAGGCATATGCCATAGACTTTCAACCATACGACGTGTGTTTAATATTAGTTGACAGTTTTACGTGAAATATAAGTGGTTTCTTCAATCTTGTTTGGTGCTTTAGCAAGTTGTTAGGTTGTTCTTCAGGGTTTAGGATTATTAAATTACCATTGAAGCTTTTATTTTTTTAAGATTATTTTTCCTCAAGTCATTGTCAGCGAGGCATTCAATCGAGTTTTTCACTTTGATATTAAAGGTCGTTTTAAGCTCCTACTTTGTAGTTTGCTTTCGATCGTAGGCATTCAACCGAGTTTTTCACTTTGATATTAAAGGTTGTTTTAAGCTCCTCCTTTGTAGTTTGCTTTCGAGGCATTCATCTTGTCATCGGTTGTGATTGTTGTTATTTGTATTTGCTTTGGGGTTCAGTTGGGATAGGATCTTGTGCATTAGCAGCAATGGTTGTGTGCTTTCTTTTGTTCCAATATCAAACTTTCCATGTTTTTTAACAAAATGTGATTCCGCTATTGCAGTTTTGAAATTTATATGTGATCATTATCTATGATTTCTGGCATAAATAATGTGAATGAACATTGCAAGTAGTTTCCTTAGGCCAATAATATTATGATTCTGGTAGTTATGATTGATTATTATATATCAAATGACTAAAACTCGTTCACTGATTTCAGGAATGGGAACAAAAGTGCAGTCTAAAAGCTATCTTCCAGGATATTACTCAATGAGAGATCTAAATGAGGGTTCTAACGGTTGTAGCTGGCCACTTTATTACGGGGATAATACCTTGACAAATGGTCAGTATTACAATGGTTTTTTCCTGAGGGCCATTGCAGATGCATATCCTGGGTATGATAAGAATGCTTTGAAACAAAAGATGATTGAGCACGAGGCAATCTTCAGGGCTCAGGTTGGCCTGTATTTAGTTTTATATGGTTTTTTCCTGCCATATGTTGATGAAGTTGAGTGTGCTTGTTTGTGCACTCAACTTTCTTTCGTACATATTTAAATATCTGGGTTCTCTGTTGTTATCCAGGTGTCTGAGCTTCATCGGTTGTACAGGATACAAAAGTACTTGATGGATGAAATAAAAAAGAAACAATTACCAAAAAATCTGGTTCGTATTGGGACATCATTTTCATCAAGCCTTTTAGCTTCACAAGTTACAACCGAAGATGCTCATAAATGGCATATACCCAGCTTCCCTGTGGCAAACTTCAATTGTGTTAGACCGTCGATATCTGGTGTTGAGCACAGTCATTCTCCCCTGAGTTTCATTAAGGGAAGCAGCATCCAATCTAGTTCCTTTCTGTCCCAAAATGGAGATAATTCAAATGATGTCGAGTTACTAGAGTGCAGACCCACAAAAATGAGAAGAAAAATGTTCAATCTTGAACTTCCTGCGGATGAGTACATTGATACTGAAGAAACAGCACAATTCGAGGATGACACAGCATCTTGCATGTCAAGATATCTTCCAAGAGGAAATGGGAAAATGAGGCCCAAGAGCGGTGAGATGCTACTTCATGGTGATGGGGGGAAGACTGGTTGCTTAGGTGATACTTCAAGAACTGATACATGTTTGAGGGGCAAAAATAGTTTGGCCGACTTGAATGAGCCTATTCAGATTGAAGAAACCAATTGTTCTGCATGCTCTGACTGCCATGATCCTTATCATGGAGGCTGTGAACCATCTGCAAAACCGAAGCAAAAGTTTCTTGGTCTGTCGAAAGAAATTTCTGTCAATTCTCATCGCCAAATTGATAATTGGTCCATAAATAATGTACATGTTGAAAGCAAAGGAAATGCTAGAGGGTTCTTTTCCGATGTGCTTGAAGCAGGTCCATAAATAATATTTCTATCAGTTCTTTTCTTTTTGGCATCAAAAAAAATGCAATTCGAACTGCCTGATTATAATTTTGATTATTCTAATGTGAATATTATCTTGCTTTGCAGGGCATTGTAAAGCCAACTTAATATCTACTTCTCAAGGTTTTCAGTCCAACAAGTTGTCTGTATCATCTCATCAGGTACAAGTTCTTTTTGACAAAGATCATGATCCTACGGCTTTTCCTCCAACTGATCAAAGCAAGGCAGAGCTCACCCGAGAGAGAATGTTTCATGGTTTTGAAGTTTCTACAAGAAATTGTGAAATCTCCATTAACGGCCATCCAGATTCAATCATGACTTCCTATGTACCTAGTTTGAATCCGTTTGCTTCTTCCGATGTTGTAAAGCAATGGTCTCATTCAGTTTCTTCGTGGGAAAAGCCTTCCAGTAACTTAAGCCCGAAGTCAATGTCAGTTCAGACTCGCCCGTTTTTTAATTCATCTGGTTCTTTTAGTAAGAGTTCCTTGATGGCACCTCAAAGCAATGAGATTTTTGGGGAGAAGTGGCAGGTAAGTTGCAATTCTAAACTCAACTCAGGTTTTGGAGGTGAATTGCCCAATCGAAATGGATTTTATCATGGATCATCATCAGGGTCCAAGCCTGCAATTTGCTTCCCTTCCATCAGTTATGATCACCCGAAGAGTAGTAATGATCAAAAGGGGGTCTTTGAGCACTTCACCACTCAAGATTCAACTATTCTCTGCTCAAATAGTGTTGATATGAAGTCCAGAAATGATGCAAACTTGAGTGTGATGCTTTCAAACAGTTCTTCCACTGAACTGGTTTTGCAACAAGGTCACCAAATAAATGGAGGAAGAAAGCATGAGGACCATTTTCCAGGCCTGCCATGGTTACGAGCCAAGCCTACTTGTAAGAATGAGGCCACTAGTGAAGGAAGGGATTTGAATGTTGGAGAGTTGAGCTTTTCTCAATCTTCTCCGAAGCAGTCAACCCTTAAAAATGAGACTGGAAATGGTTTCAATCAAATTTTGACACCAAATGCGAAGTCAATTCCGTTCTCCAATAACGCCAATGCCAGCAGGAGTGAAATAAGTGAATGCCTGTACAGTAAAAAGATTCTGGGGACTACTATTTTTGAAAAATGTTATGTTTCTAAGAATGAGTTTTCTTTTACCTCCCCATTTGTATCTGTTCCTCGGCCATCTGAAGGTGAAGCAGAAAATAAGGGGAGAAATAGGTTACTTGATATTAACTTACCTTGTGATGTGACAATCTTTAACGTTAGCCAAAACACTGCGGCAGAGAATTCAGCCATACAGGAGGCAGATAGAAAATTATCAAGTTTCAGACCTGAAATTGACTTAAACTCCCGTGTTGATGAGAATGAAGCTTCTTTTACACCCTCTGTTCCGAGCACCGGCATGAAGATGATTGGGCTGATAGATTTGGAAGCTCCAGCTACCGAGCCTGAGGATATTATTCATGAAGAAGAATTATCAGAAAAGGCATGTGTGTTACCTTTGCGATCAGTACCAAGCAAAGATGACTACTTACAGGATGAACTTATTAAAAGTGCAGCTGAGGCAATAGTTGTCATCTCATCATCTGGCCTGTGCAGCCATTTGGATGATGTCAATCGCAATCCATCTGAAACTTCCCAGATAGATCCCCTTAATTGGTTCGCTGAGACAATTTTCTTTTTCGGCGAGGATCTTGAGGGCAAGTTTGAGGCTCTTTCAAGAGTTAAAGATGGGGATCAAGATGAATCTTCCTTGGAAGAGATTGATTACTTTGAATCTATGGTTTTGGAACTAGCAGAAACCAAGGAAGAGGATTTTATGCCCAAGCCTCTCGTCCCTGAAAACATTAAAGCGGAAGAAACTGGAATTACCTCTTTATTAACAACCGGAACGCAGAAGGGCCAGGGAAGACGAGGAAGGCAGCGGAGGGACTTCCGAAGGGACATCCTTCCGGGCCTTGCTTCCCTATCAAGGCACGAGGTAACAGAAGATCTTCAGACATTTGGATGGCTTATGAGAGCAACAGGACATTCATGGCAATCCGGATTGACAAGAAGAAATGGAACCAGAAGTGGCAGGCGGAGGCGAGCGTCAGTAACTAACTCCTCTCCTGCTCCTGCTTCGGTAGCTGCCACAACGTGCACGGCATTGGTGCAGCAGCTTAATAACATCGAGGTGGGGTTGGAGGATAAAAGGCTTATCAGATGGGGAAAAACAACTAGACGGCCTCGCAGACAGAGATGCCCTGCTGCAGGTAATCCTCCACTTCTTGCATTAACCTAGTTATGAGAACAATCTTTTATTAAGGTATTAATTGAGAATACTATGGGGGGAACTAGTTCATTGTTGCTTCACCGGCATTAAGGTGAGGTTTATGACGATCCATGGATCTTGCCTTTTGTACATTTCTTATCCTGAAATTTGGATACACTTGATTCACTGTCGTTACAAACAAGCAAACAACTTGTATTATCCGTAAATAATGTTGCATGATTTCTTCATAAGATACATTCCAGTAAGACCTCTGTAACAGCGCTTGCTTTGTCTGCTTAACATTTTTGTAGCTAATTGTCTTGAAACGTAATATATAGTTACTAATGCATATAGAAGCATAAAGTACATGCTTATTTTACCGTAGACTGTGTTACTGAGCCAAACCACTATGGAAGATGGAGTTGCGAAGCGATGTACTATCAACGGTTGACTGGTAGGGATGAGTAATACTTGACTCAAAAAAATTGAATTTTCTGATTCGACCTTAAAAAATTTCAACTTCAGTCGACTCGTGATTATATATATAGCGTAATGCTTATTATATTAGCATCAAATAGTATTATAATTTTATATTTATAATTAAATTCAAACAGACATCAGAAAAAAGTCGATTAACTTGAAAATTTTATTAGATTATTTGGATACTCACTCGCCCTTAATGACCGTACGGAATGACACAAAAATTCATTTCAGAAGATCTTGGTTCAGTCTAATCACGATATACTGGGCGATTTGATCAAACTGATATTATTTAATCGAATATTTACCTTTTTAATACCGTTTGATATATATTTCTCGAAGTGATACCCTTTCGGCTGAGCTGGCGAAAGGCGCATCCCCGGGGACGTGCTTTACTCGAGTTTTCGTTGAGTTGGATGCCACGTGTGGAAGGCGCATCCCCGGGGACGCGCCTTCCATTAAATGCCATAAATGTCCCCATCCGTTTTTCCTAACTACCCCTCCTCCTCCCCTATATAAACCCCCTCAACCCTCCCTATATAAACCCCCTCAACCCTCCCTCATTCTTCACACCAAAATCATATTCTCCTCTCTTATATAACTCAAATTCTCCAACTATTTGAGTTTTAAATTTGTTATTAGTGGTAAGAAATTTATTTTTATGTTAGTATTTTTTTAAATAGTTTTAAATTTGAGTTTTAAATTCTCCATTGCTATTGAGAGACTCAGGTCGTCCAAAATCTACTAGAATACATTGTGATATGGATATTCGGGAGAAGTCAACAGAACAAAAATGATGTGGGCATTGTAGAAACATCGGGCACAATAGAAAAAAATGTTCAGCTATGTTATCATTATATAACCGTTAACTCTTATGTAATTAATATTGTATTTAAATGAATGTTTTTGTTTCTAATAATTTAATGTTATTGCATTTTATATAATTTGTCAATGTATGTACACCTAAATAATTTTTAACTTTTAAATACATAAATATTTTCAATATATTTATTTAATATAATAATTAATATTATTAGTTATAATTTTTTTTAAATATAATAATAATTCCACCTTCTAAGTAGAGAAAAATATTAAATTAAACAAATTAAAAGTTATTAAAAAATTTATGTATACGATGACACATTTCATGTTCTGATTGGAGGATTAAATTTATTAAATTAAATTTTCAATAAGACTAATTTCATAAAATATGTAAGTCTTGAAGATTAAATATGTAATTATACTAATTTATTAACTTATGCATCAATATTTTTGTTAAATATTGATAAGAGATGACTAGATTGATAACATTTAAATAATTAACTGATAAAATTAATAGATCGATAATCAAAATAAAAAATAATAATATAACCATATGTGTAATATTATAATTTCATACATTTTTCCTATAACTACAATAAAATCAAAACTGGTTTTCATATATTGTTCTATCATATTAATGTAGATAATTCACTCTACCTTTAACATACATTAACAAAATACATTTGATAATTCTTACATTATAATCGAAACACTTTACATAATATATTACTAATTTATAATAATAATAAAAATAAAATATTTATTATTAAACAAAATACCAGCGGGCAGTCGAGTTATCAGAATCCCGTGAAGGCGCGTCCTCGGGGATGCACCTTCCACACGTGGCATCCAACTCAGTGAAAATTCGGGTAAAGCGCGTCCCCAGAGATGCGCCTTTCGCCAGCTCAGCCGAAAGGGTGCCACTTCGAAAAATATATAAACGGTGCTAAAAAGATAAATATTCGATTAAATAATGTCATGGTCAAATCTTCGATATACTGATAGATTGGTTTTCAAAGTTCGTAGTGCATTGCATATACTTTTTTACTTTTCTGCCATTTTTATTTGCAATGTAGCCCTTGATCTTACCACCTAATAATTGCTAGCCTTGCTTAATTATTACTTCAATCTATGAAACTATCCTATTTCCATTATGTATAAACAGAGGTCTCTAATTGTGGTTAAAGGGCAAAAAAGGAATGCAAAAGAATCGGTCTGTGCGGAACCCAGAATGAGACCAAAAACACCTCACCGACAATGGTTTCAAAGGCAAAAAAACATAGTATGTATAGAGGTACAATTGAATATCCTAAGTAATCTGTTAAACATGATTTAAGGTTTCGAATTTATAATATAAGATGTCGAAAACAAATTAATTAAAAAGGTCAGTATTATATTAAAGTAGGTGAGAGAAGGTCCCGCTTCTCTCTAGAGCCCAGGCGTTTTTGAATTATTTTCCCCACCGTCATCCACCCGCCGCCGCCGTCCGCCGCCATACTCCGACCACCGTTTGAATCTGTTTTTTTCCTGGAAGATCGCCGGCCCACGGTGATTCCAAATCTGGCCTTAGATTTGCGTTTGAGCCTTTCAAACGACGCAAATTATCGCGAAGTTCTCCGCCGCTCGTGGTCGCCTCCGCCTCACCACCGGACTCATCTTCTTCTCACGACCTAAACCCCCTTCCATAGTGTCGACAATCGGTTCTTTTCTGGGGTTCGGCAAGAAATTTCCCTATCTTCCAACTTTCTGTTTTTTACAGTTCTCCTCTGTCCAGCTACCCAGTTCTCACAATGGAACCCATAAGGCCGTCTCAACACAGGAGAACCAGTGGACTTGCTGCAACAGCCGCGGCAGGTGCAGCCTCTGTCAACCGCATTAGTTCTTCCTCTGGACCAGACGACGCGACCACATTTTCCTACTCCAACAAGGAAAAACGAGAGAGGGAGAATGAGAAGGAGAAGACAAAGTATCGGAAAAGGAATAGGAGAGCCTTCACCAGTCGTATGCTGGCCGGTTTGAGGCAATACGGAAATTTCCATCTTTCCGCTCGTTCTAACATGAACAATGTTTTGGCTGCCTTGGCCCATGAGGCAGGTTGGATTGTTGAGGCCGACGACACTACCTACAGGCAGTCTCCTACGTCCCAAAATCAACAAATTTTAAGAGGTAATTCTTCGAGGTCGGGTGAAAGTCCTTTATCATCTAGACGTTTGGAAAATTGCTCAGCTAAAGCATCTTTAGACTGTTAACCACCTGCTATAAGGATTGGCGTAAATGGAAGATCTCCTTCACAAGGTGTGAATTTTAGGACTGAGATGTTTCCTTCAGCAGAGGCAAAACCAGCCCGTTCTGAAGAATAAAAGAGATCACCACTCCAATGAAAAAACTTCTGAAGTAGCGAAAGGGAGAAGAAATGGTTATCAAAATTGGTGGAAGGAAGGTCATACAAATGGTATTAATGGGTGTAGAAGTGGTTGCATCTCGTTATTCATTGAACCTATCGGAGAAGATCCATTGGAAGAGATTTGGATCTTTATTTAGCACTTACGGTCATGTTATTGATGCATTCATTCCTAACAAAAGGAATTCGAAAGGAGGCCGCGTTGGGTTCATTCGCTTTGCAACTATTGAAGAAGCAAGGAAAGCGATATCAAGCATGAATGGCGTTTATATTTACGACAGCAGAATTAGAGTCTCTTTGGTTAAATATAAATCCTGACAGTCTTACTGGCGAAAGTCCTCGAAGGTTGTTCAACGTAAGTCTGAGAGGGAAGAGGTTCCGAGGATTAAACACTGTGAAGTTGAGGGAGTTGTGGACGAAGAGAAACTTCACGTGTTAAGTAATTGTCTTGTGGGGTGGTGCAAGAACTTTATCAAGATTGGTAATCGCTAACCAAATACAAGCCAAAGGACTAGCGGGTTTCACGCTTATGAGAGCTGCTGGAAATGTACTTCTAATGGTTTTGATGATTCTAATTCTTTGAGAAGCATGAAGGATGATAAGTTAGAGACTCTTACAGAATGATTTTCCAGAGTGGAAACTTGGTCTGAGAGCCTAATGGTGGAGAGCCGGCGCGTTTGGCTAGTTTGCAAAGTTATTTCTTTTCACGCTTGGAATTGGGATACTTTCAAAAACATAGCTACTAAGTGGGGCAAGTTAATAGCAATTGATAACAGTTGTGAGTTCCCTTCGTCTTTTGATCGGGCCAAAATCCAAATATTCACAAATGCTCAAGGGAGAATTAATGAGTTGAAGGTCGGGGATCATTTATTCAAAATCTTGGTGCATGAAGTTGATCCTTCCTTCAAACCTAATTCTTGGGTTCCTGAAGATTGCGATCTTTCTTTAGAACTTGATCCTCCAATTGGATTGTGATTGTTCGACAGCTGTATTAAGAGGTGTTTTTAAGTTTGTGGTTGTATTTGTTGGTTTTTTTTTTTTTTTGATATGTTATCTTACATCTTGAGGTGTATTTTACAAATGAGGATATTTTACAAATGAGGTTATTGGTTTAGGGGTTTTTTATTTGACGATGTAAGATTTCTAGGTGATATGATTTGTATCGGTGTTTATTCCCGTATGTGGGTTTGGTGATTCCTCATGGACTTGGTATTATATTTAATAAAATATGAGGTACAAAAAATATAAGATGTCGAAGAATACATGTACCTTCGTGCAGAGATGTGAGAATAAGGGAAACTTGTTAACTGCAGACTTTATGTAGAAGCTTAGATCACCCAGAAATATTATTAACATATATATATATATATAGAAGATGATACAAGAATAATAAATCAAGATGTAGTTATTTTTACACCAAATACAACTCCCATCTGCCCGACTAAATAGACTAGAAGTGCAGTCAAACCGGGAACCAATTACTTTTGATCAACTGGTCGATCCCTATAATTCATTCCTACGGCCGATTATACACATATTTCGTCCGTGGATCCACGAGAAGACCCTTTCCACCTTTCACTTCTATATCATGCCTGAAATGACCATATCATCAGAAAATTAGAGTCATTTCTACTTCTTTTTTTGTTCCATTTCATGTAAACGAGATCATCAAAACCGTTGGATGATCCGGGTGCATCCTTGATATTTTTAACCCCACTTGACTACAGATTTGATATGATGGTATGTTTTGGTTTAAATGGTAAGAAAGATAAAACTATATCACTCAACTGGAATACAAAATCAGGGATCGTCAACTGCTCACGAGGAACATATCTGAATAACTGCAGAAGCTTGTCAACGTAGACCACTTTCTTCCACACCTGTAGATTAATCCCAAGAACATCAAGTTACAATATGATTTCTAAACGGGTAAAGCATTATTGAACAAGAACAATCAAGACATACCACATTGTCCACGAACATTTGTAGGGCGAAAATTGCAGCTTTCAGGTGAAAGGTAGGATGAAGAACATATATTGCCTACTCAACACAAGTAATAGGATCAAGAAACAACAACTAATTATGAACAATCAAATTAGATGGGATAGTTTTTGCTACATACATGCAGGTTACGTTGGTGCTTCCGACCAAGTATTTGTTGTAATCTTCTCATCCGTCCTAAGTCTGGTTGCCTGGTTACTCCAGAAAAGAAAATGTAACGTGAGCAGGGAATGAAAAGAAAATTCACATTCAACTCAACTGGTCTGAAAATGCATTAATGCAAGGGCAATATAAAGGGATTCAAATTAACCAAAACTCTCATAAAGCAATACTTACATCTGTAAAGAAGCAGCAGAGTGCAAATATACAATAGTATAAGGCTTCTGTATCAAAGGTTTAAATTCCTGAAATTAATTATCAGAAGATGATTTTAGCCCAAAAGCCAGTTTTCAATTAACTTACACTGTCAAGACCACAAAACCTTTTCCTAAGATCAAGCAGTTTAAATTATGAGTAGTCAATAGGACAATGTCAGAGAAAAAGTAAGCTAATACCTTTACAACATAGAGAATAAAAAGCTCAAGATCAAGACACCGCAGCAGTGAATGTGCTCCAACAATAACCATAACAGGGTGACCTTCACTGTCCACCCCTCCGCGGTAACTGACATAGAGCAAACACACTGACTAATCGTTATATTCACACTACGACTAATCTGAAAATGTATGACAATTGGACAGTTTCATAATATAAAGAAAATATGGTCCCACATGAAGTTAGTCAAGCCAACGAATAAAACAGGAAAAGTAAATAGTCTAAAGACTTCAACTGTTTGTTTAACTCGTAAATGCTTCCAAAAACAATGATTCTGAAGAACGTAGACAGAGGAATGCCAATTCAGGGGTATGAATGGAGAAATGCACGATAAACAATGATTCTGAAGAACGCAGACAGAGAATTTGCCTTGGAAAGGTATCTAGAGTGCAGTGAGTATTCTTCAGCAGCAGATAATGGAGGCCCACCAAGGTCACCAAACCCAAGCATCTTAGCACAATTCCAACCACCTTGAGATTGAGCAGTTTTTTCCCATTGTTCCTGCCGTCTCTGATCAGGATCTTTGATTAGGGACATGAAAGCAGGATCCAAATATGTATCCAGGTAACTTGAGTTCCTGAAAGAATAGCAATCATCCAATAAGTTCATTCGACTTGATAGGCCATTAATATTTTTCATAATCAATACAGAACTGCAGATAACTGGAAGAGAATGCATAAAAGGTGCCATGAAAACCCAGAGAAGCAATAAACCAATGATTTGTTTCTCTTTCAAGATACGGGCTACAAATTACTCTGATTATAAGTCGAGCTAACAATCACTACGAAATGCTTGAAAGGAATCCAAAGAAAAGTGCAGCTTTATTGATTAAAACCAAAACACCCAGAGTACAATTTTTGAGCCAGGGCTGAACCAAAATTAACACATAACTCCTGAAACACCCTAAGACAAAACACCCACTCAAGAAGCCATAACCTATCCTTAATAAACGAAACATCCCAACATAGAAAGACTAGAGCAATCAAAGACGTAAATACTGTTACAAATCCAAAAGACTGCACTACCTGCATCTATCTTGACAATTATCACCTTTCAGCAGCAGAGTAATTCCAAATCATTTCAAGATGGACTCGACTTCGCGACGGAGGAACCATCCGTAACTCAATTCGACAGGGAGTTATTCTTCATTCCACTGAACGAAAATTTATGTCTTTTTATCTTTGTCTTATTTTCCGATCCACGAAAAAGGATAAAGAGGGATAACTGTAGACACCCATTTTATTAAAAGATAGAACTAGCAAGAGTTCATCTCCTAAGAGGACTCTTCCACCACCATGTCTTTTAAAGCAACAACCACACCAATAAACGTGCAACAACCGAGCAAGGAGTCTAGTTGTATTAGGATTCTATTGTTAATAGGATTATAAAAATAGTTAGTTTTTTTCACTATAAATACATGTAATCCTCCCCATTTGTAAGACATGATTTACATACAAAATACAGAGGGAAGCAAAACGATTCGAAAAGGAAATAAAAGGTAGCATCTTTTTTTACATTGATTCATTCATTTCTTGCATGTGCATGTTATTTTTCTTGAGATTTGGTTTGAATAACCCAAAGCGTGAGTTGCGTCGATGACCAAAAAGGGGTGGGATTTTGAAGTTTCGAACCTAGATTACTCCCGAGGCATGTTCATTTTCTTAAAGTATTTAATATTCCCTCTAAGTCAATCTTAATCTTTAATTTACCTTGAAATTTACCCTTTAATTTTACTTTTATATTAATTTCGTCCCCTATATATATTTTTTTAATTATATTTTTTTATTTATTTATTATATTCCTTTTTTTATTTATATTATATTATTTTTATTATATATATCTTATATCATTATATATATATATATAGATGTATTAATTTTTTTCCATTTACTATGTATATATATATTTTTTTAATATTATATTTTATACGTTTTTTTATATATATTTTCTTAATATTCTATTTTTATTTTTATTTATTTATATATATATATTATATTTTTACTTTATTTTATTTTTTTCTATTATTTTTTATTAATATCATGTATATCTTTATTTTTTATTTGTTTTACTTAGTATTATATATTTATTATTTTTATTTATTTAGTAAATACTACTTTATATGTACACATTATTTTTATTCCTTTTTAATTTCTTTTACCCTTTTTTTATTCTATTAATATTTTCTCTTTATGTGTGTCTTTGTTTTTTAACATTTTATTCATTTTGTTTATTTTTATTATTTTTTACATGTTTTGTTATTTTATTTTTTCTTTTTTATTTATTATTCTCACGTTTGCACACTTGCTATCCTAATTCGATTTTATACTCCGCTACGAGTCAAACGTTTTTATCTTTTAAGGGTATTCAAATCAATCAATTGTAAGTAATTTGAATCGAGTCTGTTAAATTTTAATTTTAATTTCGAATTTTCGCAACTAAGACAACCGACAAATTAATTGGTACATGTCGCAACCGTCTTTCGGTTGGGCCCAGAATTGGGCTTCGACTTAGGAAAATGGAATTGGAGTCACCACCGATCATTTATTTAAAAATAAATTGGTTGACCGTATACCTTATTTCTTACCTAATCTGCATTTCACCAGTGATGTGTCGGATTCGGGAGTCGATTACAGTCAAGGAAGGGTTAGCACCCTTGAACTGCCCTTTCGGTACTATATAATTTCCAGTTGCCTTTAATTAAGAAAGTCATAAATTTAAATTGAAATGTAAAATAACGATCCAAATTACTTACCTTTGATTGATTTGAAAATCGTGCCCTTTATTTATCTTCAAACTTGTTACAAATGCTTTGAAATCACTATCAACTTGCTCCTATTTTTCTCTGATCTTTCGTGAGTCCCTTGTGTTCTAGTTACTCGGTTATTTGATGTTCCACGACTCTAACTCTTTGTTTGGTTGGTTGTGGATGAGTCACTCTGACTCACGTTTGTTACAAAGCGAGAAAACCGGCGGGAGCCCGACTGTTGGAGCAGTAACGTGCGGCGACTGAACGGTTGGGGATCTCCTTACGGCGCTGGTGAGGCTTGGAGAGATGGATGAGCTAGGGTTCTTCAGCGTGGTTTTGGGTCTGGTGTGGGCCAGCTGTTGTACTTGGGCACCAATTGGGCCTGAAAAGAAAAGGGAAAAAATAAATGAATATATAATATAATTTATAGTATAAATATATATTAAATGACATTTGAAGGATGAAATTTAGTGTCTTCAGTATCGAAAGGACGGTTCAAGGGTGCTAATCCTTCCTTGACCGTAACCGACTTCCGAATCTGACACATTTCTGGTAAAAACGCATATCAGGTAAGATGGTGTCCGACCCACCTAAATTCGTTTTAAAATTGTCGATGGCGACTCCAATCCACATTTTTCAAGTCGAAACCTAATTCTGGGGCCCAACCGAAATACGGTTACGACAATATCCAAGCAATGGAATGGCAAAAGAAAAGCCCCCTCCATTTCATTTGACTCCAGCTTTCTGCTTCAACATGGCAATGAACTTTCCTTTATCTTCCTTCTTCGGAGTTGCACTTGAAGAGTGTTAAATTCCTTGCTCGTTACCCAAAAATTCATCAGCATGGGGAAGAAAAACCAATATAACCCTAAACAAATGTCACAGAACAAATTGGGGAAAAATTGTGTTTTGCTGGATGTTGAAAACCCAAAGGATTTTCGGGGAACTAATGAAGATTTTTTTATCAAAATAAATGGGGGAGAGAGGAAGCTATCGAGCAAAACATTGTTGGGTTGTTTGTCTATCTTCGGGATGAACAATCTTAGTAGATATAAGAGGAAGTAAACGAACAACATTACATTTTATTAGATTCGAAAATTTGAAGTTTTATAAAATTTAAATTAATTAAATTTTATTATTTAAATCAATCAATTTTTTAATAAATCCAAATAAAATTTCAACATTTTTGTTGTTGAAATGGTACGATTAATGGAGAATCGTACAAAGGAAGACATCAGTACGAGTCCCATTAAAAACTTCTATAATTTATATGGAGAAAAAGAGTACTCATACCAATATCAGAAAATATAATTGGCATCAACGCCATCATTGAAATATCGAGAAAATACAATTATCTGTCTAAAACATCGAATAAATCCACGAAGGCGATTTCGAGAGGAAGACTCTCCACGTCACTTAATCTTTGAAACCGAATAATGCTGAATTCTTAAATAATTAAAAAATCAATATATATATATATATATATGATTAGATACTATTATTATATTATTATAATAATTTAGATTATATACATATATATATATGGAGTCATTATCAATTTTGGAAAAACAACAACAAATTAACCTCTCTCCTCAATAAATCCAAAATAATTTTTAAACGTTTTAAGAATATAAACTCTTTCTATAAATTTATATTATAATACATATACATTTTTCATTGCTCTAAAAAAATACTAGATTTAAACATTAATCAAATAAATTATCAATCATAGTTTATCATATAAAATTTGATTTTTCCTTTAAGGAAATTTATATATATACACACTCTAATTCTTGTGTTTTAACATAAAATTTATTATGATTATTCACGAAGTTTTAATTTGACCTATTATTTAAATCAAATAGAAATATTCAATCTAAATAGGTTTAAAAATTTTCAACTCGACTAAAGAGTTTCAAAAATTTAAATGATAAAATAAGATTTATAAACCCGGCTAATTTTTTTTCACTAAACTCGATCGCATACTCACCCCGTTACTAGAGATTGATGTTAATTTCAAGTCTACAGGTAAAAGTTGATGCTATCTCTAGGTTACAATTAGATTAAGATGTTAAGCAGGGCATCCAATTAATGAGTACAACGTGCACTACTTGACTTGGACTAAAAAGAAAAATTCAATTAATTCGAGTTAAATCAATCATCATTTGAATTCGATCAAAAAAATTGAACTGATCATTATCAATTTAAGCTCGGGACCTAATTACTAAATCAAATTCAAATGTGTTGATGTTTAACTTGGATATTTTCTCTTATCATGCACACCTTTGGTAGTTTGAAGGTCAACTAAGTTATCTGAATTCAAAGATATCTGAGAATGCTAAGCACAAATGCCTATCTTTAAATGACTTGTTTCCATTGGGCCAGGAAGTTGTAGGACACAAAACATGCCTATCTTTAAATGACTTGTTTCCATTGGGCCAGGAAGTTGTAGGACACAAAACATGCCTATCTTTAAATGACTTGTTTCCATTGGGCCAGGAAGTTGTAGGACACAAAACTCAAAACAAAGACTAAGCAAAATCCTCCCATTACTCCAAAAGATTCATCACACGATGGAGTGAATAGTCATTTCCCCCTTTCGTCTTTTCGTAACTCACAGGTTTTTCTAAGAAACACATGGTTTAATCAGGCACAGCACACCGATAGTCAAATTCATACGTCAAGCATAGCTTTGGCAGCATCGATCAGTATCGGTCTAAAATCATTTGAAGCCCGGCCAAGAACAGTATATCCTTCTTTGTCCTCTATGTTCACATCAGCTCCATGTCTTATTAAGAGGAGAGCTACCTGACACCAAAGAAAACAATTCGACAATGAAACCCCAAAGTCCACAAAATTTAGTAAGATGTTCAAGTTCCCCCTATCACTATAGTAGCATAGAACTGATTCAATTACATCAAATGTTCAAGCAATGATAAGAATATGAAAAATAGATGACGTTCATCAGCTGAACGAGAGAACAATCAGCAAGCCTTAAACCTCAGATTCTCAAGGCTCAAAGAGAGTACCTCCTTCTTATGACAAATGACTGCATTCATGAGAGGAGTTTGTCCAGTTCTATCAGTAGCATCAACTTCTGCTCCTTCTTCAATTAAGAGTTCACATAATGCCGAGTTTCCAGTGCTAGCTGCCCTATGCAATGGGGTGGATCTTACCTGCATTGAGTCATACAATAAACATATGAAACAGAAATGAAAAATGAAAAATACTAGAAATAGAAAGAAAAAAAGAACGGAAAATACAATGACTATATAATAGAAAACAATTTGAGTGTGAAGTTTTGAACCTTGTCCTTTGAATTGATCTTTGCACCATGAGAGATCAGAAGTTCAGCAATCTTCAACCATCCCTTGCTAGCAGCATAATGAAGAGCGGTGCGGCCACCGTCATTTTTCCCATTAACATTCGCTCCTTCAGAAAAGTAATAAGAAAATAACAATAAATAGCATCAGCCGAGGGAAAAATCCGCACACTTGAGATAACAATCAGAATATGAACCTACTTATGCTAAAATAACAATGACGAAATTTGCAGCATAACAAATATTTCCCGCAAACCAGCAAGAGGAATCTGAACCAATACATATCATATTCACAAAGACACATGTGAATTCCATAAATTTGCTGCTTTATTCGAATACCATATAAATTGATACGCCAAACCTCTAGTTTTCTTATTTTATTGTGTACCCGATTAACACATGATATTTGAAAAGAAAATAAAGCCCCATAAAAGGAGCAGAATTAAAGATCTAGTATAATTTATGGGTACAGCAGAAGGTTTAAAATATATTTGAACCTTATTCGAAATTTACAGCATAACTTTTCAAACAGCTTGAAGATTCTTAACCAATTCAAAGCACATGTATTCACAATTCAATTCAAAATGACCGAGGTTCTACATTAATTGTGATGTGAAAAGTCAGAATAGTACAAATCTCTCACCTTTACTCAACAGAATTTCCATAATTTCCAAATTACCAATGCTCGCACCTGAGTGAATCGGACCCCAACCTTCTTCATCGGTACCATTCACAACTGATTCATCGGAGACATCTGAGAGAACTTTGACCACCTAATACAAATTGATTCCTTTCGCATTCACAAATTAACCGATAAAAAGAAGCAAATATAGGAAATGGAAATGGATACGGAGTTACCTCGGGACGGGCGGAGGATACGGCGACGTGGAGAAGAGATCGACCGTCTTCATTCCGCAGTTTAAGAGACTTAGAGAGGTGTTCTTCAGAGAGGGACTTGAATATGGAAGACTCGCCCGTCTCCGCGGCTTTGAAGAGATCTTTTTCTTTAATTTGAAGACCCACTGATTCGTTTGGAGGATCGATTTCCATGTTTATGGTGGGATTGTATGTGGACGGATTGCGGATCTAGGGTTCGTCAAGGGTTTTTGGACATCTTTTATTCAGTGCGCGCTGTGCTTCTTGGTAGGCATACGGCTGTGTAGTTCAAATGTTTATTTTAACCAGAAATTCCAGTTCAATTGAAGGGGTTTCTTTGGGCTTAAATTAATGTGGTTATTGATATTTTTTTAATTCAATGGGACTCTTAAATTAAAAAAAAAAAATTGGTCTTTTTGAATAATAAAATTGATCATTTGGTTACAATATTAATGTAAATATTTACAATAATAACCTGATAATTTATAATATTTATTTGACAGTCAAGATGATGACATATCATAGAGGAAAAAATTTATATTTTCTAGTAAAGTTTGAATATTAAATTAGCCTTTTTAGTTCAAGAGTTTATTTATTTTTTTAAGAAACATAAAAGATTCAAAATTTAAAATAAAAAATATAATAAAATAATAAAATAAATAAAATATAATAAAATATAAATTAAATTATTTAAAACATTATTAATACTTTATCACAAATTATAAAATAATGAATTATTAATTACTAAAAAATTAAAAATCATATGAATTTTATTGCACGAATTAAGTGTTATCGATAATAAAAGAATTATTACTATTCTTTGAGATCCGACGATTACTACATATGTTGAGCACCATAGATGTGAGGACATGTGTTGGTCTCGTGCAATAATACCAATAGCGGCAGCAGTTGTATTGGGTGAGAAAAGTTCTATTGACGTTAATCTTATGGTGTGCTTGGTTGGGTGAATGTGAGATTCTCATGGGAATGAAATCCACATTCTCCCGTTTGGTTGGCCGAGAATGTCATTTCCTGTAATCTTACATTACCAATAGTGGATTTTTTGGGGTATATTGTCGGGAATGTCATTACCTCCCTTTCCTTAAGTATTATTGGATTACCGACGTTTTGGACTAAAATGCCCTTAAAAAAATTTCTTTCAAAAATATCCTTATTCTGTCATTGAATAATAAAAATTCTACGAATGTTAAATTACAAATTTATCCTTAAACTATTTTAGATTTACAAAAAAAAAATCTATAATTAAAATTTTATATGAAGTTCAGGGGTTAAAATAAAATTTTACCCTTTCATTAAACCTTTTTATATTTTAAATTTTGTAAAAAAAATTATATAAATTTTATGAACTTAAATTTTTTAAAGAAAATATATAAATATTTTTCAACTTGTTAAAAAACAAATATATAATAAGGACAATTTGGTTAAATATACATTCCAATAATCTTTTATTCCTTTAACCAAACACGATAATCTTACATTCATGCTAAACCAACCAAACACAAAATATAACATTCTCAGTAATCCTATTCCCTAGTAATCTTATATTTCGTGAACCAAACGCATCTTAAAGCACTCAGCCAGGGAGGACTTGATTTCCTTCCTTGCAAACCATTGCTTGCGTGAGGTCATTTGTTCATCAATAAGCCCCTGTCCCTGCCAGACATCACCAAGATTTTTTCAGTCTTTGAACACTCCTTCATAGCATGGATGGCGGTCTCTTGTCCATGTGTGCACCATGAGCAGAACCCCGATCCCAAACCTGTACTCCCCGTTGGTAGTGCTTCATGGCAGACCCTCCAGCAGAATATCTTGATTTTTGGATGCTTCATAAACATCTTCCAGATTAGTGACGGGTCACCAACGGTCCCTACGTCTTTCAACGACTAATTATAGCCAGATTTAGTGGAATAAACAGCGGTGTTGTGATGCTCCAAATTAGTTGGTCCCCAATTCTTGACGTAATAATCGAGCTTAAAATCCGTCGTGCATCTCCCTCTAGAGATGATTCATGTCGATCAATAATCTTCCACCCATATAAAAGGAAGTGAATCACAAATCATCAGTAAAATTTCTCTCACTGTTTATATCACCTTAAATTTCGTCACCCCACGTGTTGTCCATCAATTATTTATACTTTTTGAGTTTGAATTTATCATTTCATAGTAAAAAACCAATTCGGAAATTTGTGAAATTGGTTTGAGAGCCTTTCCGGCTTTCCTTTGTTATAAGGGAAAAAGGGATCAACATAGGATTTTGCGTTACAAGTCCAAAAACAGAAGCCTATTTGACAGATTTGAAGTAAACCAGATCGTTTCAATACAGAAAATATAGGCAAATAATTTGAAGTTATGATGAAGATGAACATAGACAAAACGAACAGGAAAAACAGGATTTCAATGCAAAGGGGACCAACTAATTAACCTGTCTATACACTGAAATATCTTCCTTCATAGTGAAGTAACCTATGGTCCTATGCCCAAAACTGCACTCATTTAAGAGACCAAACCCAATATTCCACCAGCACCAGCCATGGTTCTGGACCTTCACATCTTCCATGGTGAAAACCCGACATTCCCCGTTGCATCGTCCTCGACAGGAGCCGGAAGGTTAAGATCAATTACTGTGGCAGTGGACATATCTGGTGAGTCTTGCTTGATCACCAACGTTCTATCTTCTGCGCCTCCAACAAAATGGGACCTTTTATGACCACCTAAAGCTTGGCCTGACTTGAAAACCCTGAAGCAAAATGGGCACTGGTGTCCCTTGTTTTTCTTTGATAACAATCTTTTCTCGGCATTGCCGGACGAAGAACCACGATAAGTATTTAGGGTTCTGCCATGTAGTGATGACTTGGTCATTTTGGTATCAGTCATTGGAACAATGAAGCTATCATTCGTTAAGCTATCTTCGTTGCAGTCATTGGCTTTTGTTTGTGTTGCTCTGTGTCCCCCAAGTGCCCTGTGAGAATCAAAGGCCTTGTTGCAGGTCAAACACTCATATTTGCTTCCTTTTGGTGAATTGTTGCAGAAAACTTCATGAGTGTAATAATCACCATTCTTGGCATTTGATCTTCTCAAATCATACTTATTCAAGCCTCTATTTGCAAGATTGTTATCCTTTGGGAATTCATTGTTCAAACTCTTGAACTTACTCAAACTCTTCCGGAGCTTCGAATCGAAGTCCTCAAATTCCACTTTCTTGGGTCCATGCCTGAAATACGAAGAATCCGATCTCTCGGAAGAAGAACCATACTCGGCAGATTTCAACTTGTTGTCTCTTTGTTTCTTCATCTGCAAGTAATCACCGTTGTCGGAAACACATTTCATTTCATTTGACAATGATTTAGCTTCCAAGATGACGGAGTAGTTATCGGAAGAGTCGGCGGTCGAATTCAATCCCTTCTTACAACAACCTGCGGAATCCCTCGACAGCATCATCAAACACATTGCAACCTCTTCTTGCTCTTGTTCAATCTCGGACACAGATGAAGAACCATTCGCCAAAGAAACAGAATTGTTAGAATAAACACCATTTGCTTTGTACATTATACTTTTAGATTTCCTCCTCTTACTCGGAGTCGACGATGTTTCGGTGTTGGACTGACCATCCATTACCATCTTCTGTTTCTCAACGAAGATCCTCTCTTTCTCCGAATGGCAAGCCATGTGACCGCAAAGAGCTTTCAATGAATGGAAACGCTTACCGCATTTTTTGCAAATCATCTCTTTGAGCAACTGCGCGTTGCCCGAATCAGAGAATTTCTTGGTTTTCTTGGGGTTCTCTCTCAGACCATAAGCTGCTGCGGTTTGGCCATCGGCTTCAGCTTCGGCGACTCTCTTGATGATTCTTCCATTAGAGAGAATCTTGTTTACTGAGAACAGTTCAGCTGATGGCACTGTCTCCAATTCACCACAATCGTCATTGTTCATATGAGTTCTTATGTGGCCACCTAAGGACTTCCCACATGGATACCTCTTGTTGCAAAACTTGCAAACAAAATTCTTCTCTTGAGTTTGTTCCATTTAAGAATGAATTTCGCTGGATTTGATCACTGAAAAAACAAATAGAAAAATACCCAGTAATCGAAACGAGAAGGGTACCTTATTTCTCACCTCGAATCTTTAGATTCTTTACAAAATACATCATTTTTCCATGATCTCTGATGTGACCAAGAATACATCTTTCAATGGCGAAGAAGCAAAATCCAGAGTCCAGATCAGAAAGTTTCTTGCTTTTGGACTTGAGATGTGACAGTTCCTTCTTTCAAGAACAACAATTTATCTTTCTTTAATTAAAAATAAATGAAAAATCAGGAAGAAAAGAAGATGAAACGTATGGGTCGTTAATGGTGGCGATGAAGAATCAAATAAAATAAAAAAGGCCATGACTGTTTCTCCTTTGTTTTTGTGTTGTAGTTGAAGGAGAATTCCATGCATGAAAGGCAAAAAAAGATTCAGAAAGTAAAAGGAAAAGATAAAGCGGCACGTGTCTTCAAGTGAGAACCATTCGGTGATGAATTCAATGGTCAAGATTTATGGGTTTCATTTAAGTTTCTCATTTTTTTGAGGATCTGAAGGATCCCAACGAATGAGTGTTAAAGCAGCAGCTGCAACATCCAAAACTTGTTGCCTTCTACTTTGTCTTTGCTTAAAAGCTCACACAACTTAACTTGCAATTGTTGTTTTATCAAGTACGATATGGAAATCCATGTTTATGCTAACTCACACTCACAAGCTGGAAACATCCTTTTTTATGAAATAATTGAAGTTTGTTAGCATGAATCAAGAAATAATGATTACATTTAAAGCATTTTTGTTATTACTTAGCTCTGAAAAATAGTTTTGGTTTGGGTTTGAGTAGATCGATGGATTGGGTTCATTTCTGTTCTTTTCCTTGGGAGATGACCCAAAACGAGTTGAAATTTGAGTTAATTTTTTTAGTCAATACCATTATAATTTGGGATGGTTTAGATATTCAAATTGTTATATATTTTAGATTTTTTTATATTTTTATCGATAATTTATTTTTATTTTTTAAAAATTTTTATATATTCGTCTTTTACAAAAAATTTAAAAATTCATATCTTAATATAAAATCATGTGTCGATTCCTCGTCGATTAATGAACATAATCAAAGATATACAAAGGCCATCATGATACATGAACTATCCTCTCAACCCTGATTTTTCTGTTTATAAAAAGTTAAAAGAAGAATAATGGAATATGAAAGATTCTCACAAACGTGTAGCTTAGTCAATGGATTTGTGTATTCTATACACAAAAAGACAGGTAAAGATATCTGCAGTAATAGAATACACAAAAAGACAGGTACAAGACATCTGCAGTAATTTCTATACAAGTTTGACAAGTCAATGCCATAATTAATCAGAGTTATTTTATCTACAGAGATTCTAACAAGTTTGAGCCAGAAGATCCTTAGAGAAGCTAAAATGCTGTACTGCTAGGCTAGCTGTGGGATTTAGAAAAGCAGGAAGATCCATCATTAAGAGCACTTTAACATGCTGACGCAGTACATTTGCTAAATGAATATGTTTAGCTAATCAAAAACTTTTGATATTCTTCTTTATTTGGAATTGTTATACCATGTTTGTACTTAAATCTGTTGTAGCTGAAGCTTGCTTTCTTCTTAGTCTCTTTTCCATTTTTACTTGGTAAACGATTCAGGTAAGTTGTTCGCCACCCACATTAACGATTGTTAACATTGAGTGATCTATTTATTGTAAATTAATAACTTTAATAAAAACATTAATGACTATACGTGTAGTTTACCTTAAAATTTAGTAGACCAGAATAAAAAGTAGAGACATCAATGATTTTAAAATAAATTATATACTTGACTATTTAATTATGTATCTAAATGTAAATTAAAATCCACGTACCAAAATCTGGGATTTTATTGATTTTGAGTTCATACAAGAACGAACCGTCATTTTAGTTTTTGCTCCAATGAATTCTCTCCTTCCCCTGCCACCTATTTCCCAAATCAATATGATAAAATGCTTCAACAAATTACATTGATACCATGTTTTCCAGTTTTCTTTTTCTGGCTAAAATGATGATCTTGTAATTGATTTTCATGGTTCTCTCAATCTATATATGCAGGTACTTTTTAAATGTAATCTTCAGCATTCTCAACAAGAAGGTCTACAATTACTTCCCATACCAATAGTATGTGTAAATTATGCATCATTATACTTGGACAAACTAAAAGAAAAATTGACATAGTTGTGTCGGAGGTTTACTACTATTCGATGTTCACACCCGAGTTCAAGTTACATTTATATGGTTTTTCCGATATGTAGATTTATTTCGTTTTCTCCATTCTGCAGTTTTGTTTCAATTATACATCTGGTAGTTGGAGTGGCTTACTGTCTGGTTTCTTGGGGTGTTGGCCTGCCAAAACGAGCAGTAAGCTTTGTTTTCTCAATTCTTTGCTGTTCAATATTGGATTATATGATGGATTTCCTCTAAAGAAAACACAATCTCTTCCTATTTTACCAGCCGATTGATAAGGAGCTCTTGGTTCTATTGACTCCTGTTGCTTTCTGCCATGCTCTTGGACATGTCATGTCCAATGTATCATTTGCTGCTGTTGCAGTGTCCTTCACACACACTATTAAAGGTAAATTGATCTTTGAAAATGGAAAAAGTTTACAAACTTTTTGGGAACACCTCCAATTGTAATCTACATTTATATCTTTTTTCCACAGCCCTGGAGCCATTATTCAATACTGCCGCTTCTCAGTTTGTTTTGGGCCATCAGATTCCACTTTCCCTTTGGCTTTCATTAGCTCCTGTTGTTATTGGTAAACTCCTTTTTTTTTCCTTCCCTTGTAAAACAGCTTTGCCTGTTATTAATCTTCGCCACCTGATGTTATCTTCTGCTTTACTTTTAGGTGTTTCAATGGCTACATTCACTGAACTTTCTTTCAACTGGACTGGTTTCATCAGTGCAATGATTTCGAATATCGCATTTACTTACAGAAGCATATACTCAAAGAAAGCAATGGTAAGAGAAGGAATCTTCACTTCATTTTCATTCGCAATTTTTTATTTGTATCGAATACGCAACCGTATTTGACATCCGCCCCGGCTGACACATCTTTGGCTTTTATATTTGACAGACAGGGATGGATAGCACAGATATTTATGCATATATTTCTATAATTGCCCTATTGTTCTGTCTCCCACCTGCAATATTTGCAAGTAAAATCCAAAAATGAAAGGGAATCTTCACCATGCCTGTTCACTTTCATTAAACTACTTGTATAATTAATGATTTGCTAATATGGTTGTGATTTGAATCCAGATCGAAGGCCCTCAGCTGATGTAATATGGTTTCAGAGATGCTATTGTCGAAGTTGGCCTAACCAAATTCTTGTCTGACTTATTTTGGATTGGAATGTTTTGTCACCTCTACAATCAGGTATGTATTGCACAAAAAATATTGCTGCAAGTTTCTTGAATGTCATCTGTGATTGTCATGATCCGGGAATCATGGAAATGGTTGGAAGCTAATGTCGAGATTCGAATCTTTAATTTGTTGAATGTCATCTTTTTCAGAATCGTTGCATCAGTGAATTGAATTCAAGGTTCCTTTACTGAACAAACACATTGAGGTGGTGAATTGCAGCTGGCTACTAATACCTTGGAAAGGGTTGCACCACTTACACGTGCAGTCGGAAACGTATTGAAGCGAGTTTGTTATCGGCTTCTCTATCGTCGTTTTCGGTAAGTTTTCGCAGTCTTCCTCCCGTATATCCTATGTTCATGCAGCCTATGTTACTCGGATTGGAACTTTGGCAATAGAATCTCTGAAACCATATTGGGGTTAAGAATATATTTTATAGTTGGATTGGGGTTAACTTATTGGGATGTTTACTTCAAATTTTCAAATTCTTATAAATTTTATTTTTTATATTTTATTAATAATTTATTTTTATCCTCTTATAATTTTGATAAGTTTATATAAGTATAAAATTTTATATATTCATTCTTTATCGTGAAATTTTATGTGACGTGGTAATTGTGAAACTTTATAATTTACAATTGAAAGTGGGGTGAGTAAAACTCGATTTGACTAGAAAAATTGATTTTTTCGACTTGAAATGATTTCGAATTGTAATTTCATAAACTTAACTCGAAAAAATTTCAAATTTAAATCGAGTTGTAAAATACAACTCAAATAACTTAAATAACATGAAATTTTTAGTAATTAGTGGATGAATTTTCAAGTTTGAGTCGAATCCCTTATTTCTATATGATATATGTATATCACATATGAAAAAAATATACATGTATTGTATTTTTTTTATCAAAAATCACACATGAATTGATTGTTATATATATATATATATATATATTCATAAAAAACCATTTAAATTAAAATCAAATAATATCATAATATTATAAATATTGATAATTAAATTTAAACACAAACTCGAAAATTCAACTCGATTAGACTCTACTTGAATTTTATAAACTCAAATCGACTCAAAAAAAATTTAAGTCAACTTCGAGTTGTAAAATATGACTCGTTAACTCGAATAATTCAAAATTTTTTGACTCAACTCAATCGAACGTTCACCCTAATTAAAAGTCGCATTACAAAATGTCAAATCCCCCAAAACTCGGGGAATTATAAGCCACAGAAAATTGAGTTTGTCTAAGGAAAGGCGGACTAATATACAGTTAAGAAATGGCGTGATCGAAAATTTAATAAGATACTTAACAAAGTCGTTAGCGCTATAAGAAATGTTGACTAATAACAATGTTGTAGGTGAAAAACATAAAGAAATATTAAAAAAAAATGAAGAAATATTAAAAAAAAATGACAACCAATAAACTTTCCTTATCCAATTAATTAATTAATGATAGGATATTAAAAATTGGAAACCAAACAAAAAATGAGGAATTAAATAATGATAGGATATTTTATTTCATAAAATAAATTTAAGTATTTAGACTTTTTACGCACGAGAGGAAACTAGTAGTTGGGTTTTTTTTAATAAAATAAATTTAAATATTTGGACTTTTTAAATTTCAATTATGGACCGTGAATTCTTTTAGGGAAACAAAATTTAAAACATAATAAATTTAAAATTTTAAAGGACTAAAATTATATTTATAAAATTTAAGAGGTTATTGTCATCATTTTAAATTTAGTAATTCAAAATTATCATTTTTTCCAAATTATTATTCAAGTTTTTTGTTTAAATTATAAGTTCATGTCAGTTTTGAATTTGAGTCACATATGTTAGTTTTAAATTTGGATCAATTTTAAGATCGAGTCGAGTTGAGTGAAATTAATGAAAATAAATTTTTGGGTAGGAACAATAATTAACAAATCTACCTAAATTTTTTTTAAACATTTATAAATTGATGATTATTGTCTTACCAAGAAGGGTTTTAATTTCCAAAACATTTAGGGCATCGAAGAATTGCTTTCTTATTTGAAAATAAAATAAGAAAAGGGATTGAATCTTTGGTTAAAAAGCATGAAGCATGAATCGAATGCTGGAAACATGGAAATAAATATTAAATATATTATAGACAATAAGAATGATACATCCATGATAGTAGAGGTAACCACTGACATCAATCCCTTCAACAGAAATACGAGGAACCACTCCATAGGAACACATGCATATACAAATACAATACCCAAATAAAGCCAAAACAAACAGAAAAGGGAAATAGCCGAGCAAAACAAAAGGTTCTAAACTTGCCTATCTTATTTCTTCATCCGCTTTTGAGCATGATCGGATTCCTCTCCGTTGCTCGCATCTCCAAGATGGATCATTCCTTGAATAGGGGAACTCTGTGGATCCTGTCAAAATATTGAAATGAAAACCAAGTTGTTTTGTACGTTAGACTAATTTCATCAATACAGTCCCCTCAGGGTTTTAATAAACAACATGGAACAATAAACCCTCTTAACGGGATCAACCAACATGAGGTGACCGATATCTTTCTTTTTTCCAGTCATACCTTAGCAGAAGTTCCTGGTGTTAGTTCTCTGTTAGCATGCTTTCCGAGATCGATCTGCACCGAGATGTTGGCCCGTGACAGATCCAAACCCGCACTCTGCAGTGCTTGTGTCAGAGAGTTCAATAACCTGGTCAACATCAGAATACATAAACATTATCAAATTAAAGTTCAGAGCATCCTAAACCCAACGGGGTTTTGTTTTAGCCACAAAGTATTTTATCTTGTCAAGGAACTGGTCAGCATCCCCCCCCAGTGACAAAGGAAGCATACGATAAACGGAAAAACTAAATCTAGACAGCCTCGGGCCTCAAATGTTATTTCTATTGCTACAGACGGGAGCAACTAGAGCTGATGTAAAATATCAGAACAAATCATAATATGTTCAGAGCAGTGATGTAAAATTATGCAACTGAAAAATCCCATAAACTATAGAAGGTATGTAATTGGCGTGTCATACATGTTGAGGATCGAAAAAGAAAAGAAGATTAACCCACCCTTCAGAATAGACACTCGATATGCTAATTGTTCCTCCTTCAATGGTCAGATCTTCATGTTGGTTCAATGTATCGTTGCCGATAAAGCATTCGGTCGATTGCGCCTCAGATACTACTCCCTGAAGGGGATGCACAAGCATGTTATTACCTCGGATGGGAAGAGGTATTCCCCTACTCATCCACCCAGGTTGCTGATCCATAGCTTTGGACGTAGTGTCTCTCACAGAGTCAGATTCTACCAGATTTTGAGCAGCACCTGTAATCATTGTGGGGTTGATGTTGCTGTTATTCTCATCAAACTTCCCGGAAAATGCAGCCCCCGGACCAGAACCATTTTTAATTGCTTGCTTTTGACCACCAAAGCTCTGAACGCACCAATGACTATTCCTCTATAATAAAGTACGAAAATCTTCAATACTGAGTAACTTATGAATACAAGCAATTAACACCTTGAAAATAATTAACATGCTACTCCCAAGATAATATGGATATAATGTGTCCAGTAATAAGCCAAGTAAAGTATCATCCATGTCGAACATACTCATATCGGACACATAACCATACATGAAACTTACCCCTGAGTCCAAGTAAAAAATAGTTTTAAATTGCAAATTAAAAGCTAAACTCCGTAGATAGCAAGGATACAAAAACATACCCATGGCATTAATTTTGTTGGCTCAGAATTCCATTCCTGATATGAACCCTCATACTTTTTAACCTTCTCCTGTAAATATTGAACATAATCTATCACCTGCATAAGAATATCGATATCAACAATTTCTTAAATAAGTAAATAGATCAATCAGAATTTTCATATGCATAAAATATATGAAAGTATTCAATCTGCAAGTTCACAACCTACCTCTAGAAGGAACGAAGCTGTATCTCTCTTTTGATCAGGGTTAGGAATTAGATTTCTCAATAATTGAAACCTAAAAGCATCAGAAAAATGTTCGATATTACTATTCACTCAGTTAAGCTACCATCATCGATCCAATATTTCTTATTGAAGTTTAACAAGAAATTAAATACATATTTATACCTTTCATTAATCTTACTCCGTCTCCTCTGCTCCGTAACCGAGTGTTTCGATCGTATAGCGTTAGCCTTACCACTGTTCTCCCCATCTGTTTTAAATAACCAAAAAAAAAACAACAAAAAATGTAATATATAAAGCAAAACCCAGAATTCCAAATTCAACAAAAGAAAAAAAACCATCGAGAAACAATCATTAATCATCTAAAAATAAAGTGATATAAGAGAAGAGAATAAAAGGGAAAAGGGGGTCTGGAGGGGAAAAGAGTGGGATCCAATTGAATAATACCTTTGTTGGTGTTGCTATTAATGGCGTTTAAAGACATGGTTTGATTAAACGATGGCCCTTGATTTTTGGAACCAAACTCTTCTTCCTCGTACTGTTCTTCCTCCTGACTTCCTTTTCCTGTTCTCATCTATGCTCCTTCTCCTCCAGATGTCAAAAACAAACAAACAAATACTACGAAAAAGAAACCCAAGATGTGGAGATTGAAAAAAAAGAGTGATAATTTGATAGGGAAAAAAAAGGAAGGAAGTGGAGAGAAAATGGGAAGGAAAATAAATGGTGTTTTCCTGGTTGGTTGGTTTGTTCCCGGCGAGAGCAGCAGTGGACAAAGAAATGTGATGTGGCTGAGCTCATGAATGTCCCGTGAGGTTTACTTCAATTGGGCATTCAATTTTGTACTTCATTTTTGGGCCCCTAGATTTGGAAAAAAAATATGGGAACATTATTGGTGAAGTTTTCTACCAGGTCCTTTGAATTTTAAAATCTGAAATATTGGTTCTTTTAGAAAATTATTTGACCACTTTCAATTTTTTAATAGTGCGAGTGATTACAATATCTGTTCAAATCATCTTTCTTAATTATTAACAACACACATACACCTTGCAGATGTAAATACAGTTGTTCGAACCCAAATTTTTTAAGAAAAATAATACTCTCTTCAATCATTGAAGTCGTTTAATGGCTCAATTACTTTAATAATAAGTACAATCACAATGTTATTTTTTCTATCAGATTGAATAAACTATCTTTGAATGTCTGGGCTTAATTTAGATCATATAGTTATATATGAGTTTATTATATGTTATTATGCTTGAAAGCTTGATCATGCAAGGATGCATCGAGGGACGAGTAGGGATAGTCGTCATTCTGAAATTTTAAAATAATTATATATTTTAAATTCTTTTATGTATTTTTTAATGAAAATTTATTTTCGTTTTTATAAAATTTTATAAGTAAGTTCCTCTAAAATTTTGAAAATTCAAGTTCATCCCATAACATAGAATCTTATCTCCTTCCTTGATGGTATGTACATGTATGGCAGACTGTTAGGAGAATGTGAATCTCTAAATACAACACATATTCGAATATTAGTATATGATCTAATCTTCCGACTTTATTTTAAAGAAAATTGAACATATTCGTGTCTAACAATCACGATGGTATTATAGCTTTAAACTTCATGTCAGCAATCAAAATACATTTGAATAGGATTTTTATTACAAATAACAGAAAAACACAAACATCACCATAATATATTCTTTACTCACCAAAAACAGGAATATGGAACAATATTCAACCTAAATTTGTCAGTTTTATTTTTGGGTAAACTACTCAAATGACCGCTTAACTATAGAATTAGTGTCGATTTGACTAGTATACTTTAATTTTGGCAATATATTCATATAATTATTTAAGTGGTTTTGATGTAGCAACTTTCCGTTAAAAACAAACGGTATAGTTGATATGAACCTCTGACTCGCCATTAATCGATAGCAGTCATATCAACCACATTGCTTATTTTTAACAAGTGGCAACATTAAAATCACTTAAATAGTTATGTAGTCATGTTGCCGAAATTAAAAGTATGGTGGTCAAATCGACACTAATCCCATAATTAAGTAGTCATTTGAGTAATTTACCCTTATTTTTATGTTTGGAACTTCGAATCCAAATTTTTACAATCAGAAATGACACAGATTTATAGTAATTCCCAGTTTTCCAGTATTACAATACTATATAACACATTCATTCCTGTCATGGTGATTCATTCCAGTTTCTTCTTTTTCAAAACCCTCTCTGAGAGGTTCATGTGATGTCATCTTGGTCCAGAGAGCTCCATTGCAGGGACCAACAATGAAGAGTCGTCGGTTAGATCAGAGTATCGTTCCCAAGGAGAGAACTCATTGGCTCCGGACCTGGATGGTTCAGCTCTTTGAGAAGCTTCCCACTTCTCGGCTAGCCCGTCACCTTCTAGCATCCGAACCACTTCCGACATCTTCGGTCTTTGACTCGGATGATGTTGAATGCATAAAAGAGCAACTCGAACCATTTCTTCAACTTCAATTCTGTCGTAGTTCTTCAGATCCTTGTCAACTAGCAACTCTAGCTTCTTTTCCTGGTGAATTTTTCTTACCTGCATTGCACGTAATTGTATTGATATACGGTAACAATATCTGAATATGCTTCAAGCACAGATATTTCAATGAAAACGAATGGAAAAAAGGTAAATTTTGTTTGATTAGCTCACCCAGTCAAGCATGGCTCCTTTCTGGTTAGCAGTTTTCCCGAATTCGAGTGCCCTCAGTCCAGATATGAGCTCAAGTAATAGGATTCCGAATCCGAAAACATCTGTTTTTTCAGAGGATTGTCCAGTTGATAGATATTCAGGGGCAATATGTCCCACGGTGCCTCTCACGGCTGTTGTTACATGTGATTCTCGATTATACAACAACTTTGCCAATCCGAAATCTCCGACAATGGCCTCACAATCATCATCAAGAAGTATATTTGCTGCCTTAACATCCCTGTGAATTATCTTGGGATCACACTGCTCGTGCAAATACAGTAGCCCCCTTGCTGCTCCTAATGCAATTCTCTTCCTTGTGCCCCAATCCAATGCCGGTTTCACTGCTACGACACACAAGTTATATAACATTAGTCTTGAGTACAAAATTTCGACTTACTGAACATTTGAGATCTAACTTGCTCGGACTCATTTTTTTCATTTTAAAGTACCTTTGAGACGGGTGGCAACGCTTCCATTAGACATGTAAGGGTAAACCAGAAGCCTCTCCGTTGCAGTGACGCAAAAGCCATAGAGACGAAGGAGGTTGCGGTGAACTGCTAAGCTTATGAGTTCAACTTCGGTTTGAAACTGGGTTTCGCCTCTGATGGCGTTTCCATCTTTAAGCCTTTTCACAGCTACGATCGTCCCGTCTTGTAAATACCCTTTGTATACATAACCGAAACCTCCTTTCCCGACTAAGTTCCGGCTGCTGAAATTGTTAGTCGCCACCTGAAGTTCCTTGAAATGGAACCTCTTCAAGTTTCCAAGACAAATTTCTTCCCGGTGTTGTTCTGAGGTGTTAAGAGAAAAAACATGCTTATATGGAGACAAATTAAATTAGCCCTTTTTCATCAACAATATTCTGATTTCATGTCTATATATATATAGTTTTTACTAACCATTAACGTCAAAGAAGATTTGCTGGTTTTGTTTTTTTCTCCACCAAAGAAAGAAACCAAAGGCAAGACTAAGTAGGCAAATGCAGGCAAGTGTTAAGCCAATGGCTAAAGCAATTTCACGGCTCTTGGATCTACTAGAAGGTTTTGAGTCTAAAAAAGCACATAAATATGATGTCAGATTGATAGAATTAAACAAGGGTAAACTACACGTTCAGTACCACAACTATCATTTTTTCTGTTTCGGTCACTCGTCTATTATTTTTTTCAAAATCATACCTAACGTTATATTTCGGTTTCATTTTGGTCACCTGCCGTTAAAAAAATAACATAAATGCGGACATGGCATTCTTTAAATTTTTTCAATAATGATGTGGCATTACCTTATGATGACACGTCAACATCACCGTTAATTTTTTTATCGGTGGGTGACCAAAATGAAACTAAAACATAACGTTAGGTATAATTTTGAAACAAAAAAAAAGTTGGGTGACCAAAACAAAACAAAAGTGATAGCTGGGGTACTAAACATTTAGTTTACCCGTTAAACAATTACTTGAAAAACATTGAAGAGGGAAGGTTTTGTTCTTACTTTGTGAATTATTTAAAGAAAGAGACATTGGCATTGGTCTGGTTCTGGAGCAGTCTTTTTCAGTCTCCACACTACAAATCAGTGGGTTTCCGACAATGCTGTGTCAACTAAAAAATATGTAAGCAAATAATATATATGTATATATATGCTTTATACAGGATAATTTACATGGTAAAACAAGATCTAACTCTTTATCTTACTCGTATGTTTTTGCAAGCAATTCTGGCAATGGACCGCCCAAATTATTGAAGGACAAGTCCCTGTAATATCAGACAGATCCCACATATTGTTGGAAATCATCGTACTGTGTCTGATATGAACCAATTTTGGAGATAAAATAACTGGAATGGAATTCATAGGATTTAGTGAATTACATACAGGAAATTTAGTTGCGACATGTTTGCCACAGAGGAAGGGATTGCTCCTGAGAGAGTGTTGTTATTCAGCCTCCTGTTATCATTCAAACAGAACCTCATCATCAAGTTCAAACCTTTTTTTATCTGTAGATACTTTGAACAACCGTAGTTCGAAACAATTCATGTTCAAAACAGCTCACATGGTAGCTGTGGATGCTGGAATTAGCTGTTCGGATACAACTCGTGTCCCGAACAGCAGTTGTTTCGAACATGAGCTGCTCCAAACAGGTTCAGAAACAGTTATATGTTGGTTCAAAAGAGATAGCAGCATGATTACACGGACATCGATACTTACAGATACTGAAGGCTCTTCAGATGGGACAGAGTGCCGGGAATTCGACCTTCGAAACGGTTGTTAGAAAGATCAATGTTTTCGAGCTTCGAAAGCTTCCCTAGTTCCGATGGTATATTTCCTGATATATTGTTATTCTGAAGACTCCTGTAAAAGCAAAGGATCTTCATTGAACAAAGCAATCATAAACTAAATCACAATTTGTGAGAGGAAAATCTGAGAATTGATGCTCACAGAAGCTGGAGATTTGTCAAGTTTCCAATGGTAGGGGGAAGAGTACCAGACAAATTATGGCTTGGAGCTTCCCTGTAGCAAGAAAAAACATTTGAGCCAACAGGCTTGTAATAAGTTCATTTAAACATAACATCAAATACTTACAAGACAGTGACAACACCGTCAGCACAAGTGATCATGTTCCAATCGCAAGGATCAACAGCAGTGTAATCCCAGGTCTTAAATACTCCATGAGGATCAACCAGAGAAGCTTTTATGTCCGTTAAAGCTAGCACTGAACAAAACAAAACAATCATTTCCTGCTTGCGAATTCACTTGTTTTTTTTACGGAATTGAACAAGACAAACAACCATGTGGTTCCAGTTACCTTCAACGCTAACATCTTTTGGTGGAAGCGATCCAAATGCACAAGTCCACAAGCAGACCAAAACCACACAACTCAAAACAAACCCGTCTTTCGTTAACCCCATTGATCCAGCACTTGTTGCAGTTCTAAAAGAAAACAGGTTCTTGTAAGAAATGACCCAAACGGTAGATTGTTTTTGTCGCTGTCGGAACTTTCTGTGAGAGCTCAGAACTATGGAGAACCAGAAACTTTGATCGGTGACATGGCTGTCACTGGTTCAAATCAAAAGCTGAGGGAAAAAAGAAGAGTATATAAGAAAGATAAGTTACATTAACCAAACAATTATGATTTCAAATGATGCTTTGATAAAGGAATCCTTTCAATCATGCATTTATGTTTGGAATTGGATTTTGTTGACAAGTTTATCAATTGTAATTATAAAGTTTTTTTTTGAAGTGAGGTGTTAACTGTAAAGCATTATAATTATACTATATAATTGGATGCTTAATCGAAATTCTTTTTGAATTTTACTTTTACCGGTTTTTTTGTTAAAAAAAAAATAATAACAAAACAGTAGCGTATTTCTTTAATTGTATATTAAGGTTATCGCACGTGAGATTTTTTGATGGTTTTGTTATTATTTTTTTAATAAAACTGGTAAAAAATTACATGAAATATTATTATTTCTACCGGTTTTTTTATTATTGGGCGTTTTACCAGTTTTGTTAACATATCCGGTAAATAACTACATAAAATATTATTATTTTCTACCGGTTTTGTTATTATTGGGCACTTTACCGGAAATGTTAAAAAACATTAATGTTTTAGGCAAAAATAATAATGTTTTAGGTATTTTTTTATCGATTTTGTTAAAAAATAACAACAAAACTGATAACATCTTTTCTTAGCTATATATTAAGGTTGTCACATGGTAGAACTTTCCTAAAGTTAAACGGGGAGTCTGGCTAACATTCCCCAGATGGGTAAAATTAGGTACATATTGTTGGTAGTAAAAGATTTAGGAAATATAATTGATGAAAAATTATTGAGAATATGTGGTATTTGTTATAAGATCTGGATTCAAGCAATTGCGTCTGCAGAATATATATTTATAAATTTAGATTAAATGTTAATATGGATCTAATATGACTTAAATTCGACCATATTTATGTATAATATTAATATTATAAATAATTGTTGATACTTAATAAATTATGTATTTTATTTTTCAAGTATATTTATATTTATAAATGATTAATAGAACTTATTTAGTGACCTTAATGGCCAGAAGAGAATATTATTTTTTCGATAGGATCTGAATTCAAATAACTGCATATGTAGATTGTATGTGCGTTATCATGGCTAACGGAGATTCTAAACAAATATCACCTTAGACTATTTTAAAAAATAACAAATAAATAGTTTTTGAGTATGTTCAATTTACGTACTTTTAATGATCTTAAATCAGTGTAAACTTTTTAATTTTATAATATTTAACTATATTCTAGCTCATATTTTTATTCTAATATTTAATGAATTTAAATATGTATTATAAAATATTAAACATAAGAAAATTAATATATTTTTTAATATTTACATTATGATATTATAATTTAATTTTCGTATGATATAATACATAAAATTTAAAGAACAAATATTATAAATTATGTAATCTAAATTCTATTTTTTTTTTAAATATTTTGAGGCTAACTCAACTCGATATGCCAACGAAACCTCAAAATTAATATCATTAAATATTTTTATTTGATATTTACATATTTTTTATATTGATTTTTTTAAAAAAATATTTAACCACCTTCTAGAAATAGACACATCATGGATGAAGAGCTCCCTGGCTTTTTGTTAGGAAGTGCGTTTTCAGGCCTTAGAAAGGCCATTGATATAAAAGCCAGTTGCTTTCTGTAATTTGGACAATATTCTGGTTCAATATTGAGAGTAATTATTCTCATGTTAATGGAGCATTGCCAACCAAATGGAAATAGCACATATACTTTCACAACTATATATATACATATAAAATAAAGTCCAATGAAAATGAAATTAGTATATATATATATATATATATATTATAAATTAAATTAAACAATTTTTTTTAACTTGATTTGAAATATTCAACGAGTTGACAATCGTCATATTTGATTATCAGAGCAATTAAAATTATAAATTTTCGAGTTAGAAAAATATATACAAAAACTCTAAGCTTCCTTACTTTTATAATAGATATGTAGGGGTCCGTTTGTTTTTTTGTAATTGGTTTTCTGGAAAATGTTTTTCTCATTTTTTAATGTTTGGTTGGCGGAAAACAGATGATTAATGTAATTCATTTTCCTGATCAACTGGATTTCCTTTACATTTTCTGGAAAATAACTTACGATCTGATTTTTCGTAAGTCGTTTTACGAAATTTTCACTTCAAATATAAACACTCAAAACATTATTATTTTATATATTTAATACTAATATATATAAACATAATTATTTTATTATATTTCATGATATTCCTAAACATAAAAATATAAGTTCAATAACTAAAATATACAAGTTTAGAAAATATATGAACATAAATAATCAAAATTCAACAGAATAATACACATATGTAAAAATCACATCAAATATCCAAGTTATACAAATTTATCTTTACATAGTTACTCATACAAACATAATTTAATAATACATATTTACTCTATTATATTTTATGAATTTCATAAGTATAAATATATAAGTCAAATAAGCAAAACACATAGGAATGATATAAACATCATAATTTGTGAATACGAAAAAATCACATAAAGAATTTATTTTATGTAGTAATTCATAGCATAAGAAAGATATCATATCTATAATACTTAAATTACTCATTTAGAGATTATATTAAACTGACAAATCGTATATGTTCAAATCATTGACTATTTAGATCAATTCACATCGCTCACAATAGATAATCAAATCATAATATTAGATGCTTGATAAGTTTTGTGATTGTCAATTATGATCATTAATTATTGTAGTATGTTATTCATAAATTTATGAATATAACATCATTAAATATTTGATAAGGGTGTTTATCATTTTCTAATTAAGTAAAATCGATCTCTATTTAATTAAGTAAATGCACACCGACATGTATTCAACGCCCAAATTCTATGTCAAGTATTGTGAGCATCAAAAGCTAGCTAATAGCCCTTATCTTAACACCATGAACCTCCAAAATAAGATGGAGTGGGATGAAATTTCTACCAAGAATCTTATAGGCAGCGCTGAAACAAGTAATTCAAAACCTAGCTCAATATGGTAGGCGAAGATTCATGTGGGCGGAGTCAGTGTATCAGGTTCAGAATTTACTGCTGCTTCTCTCTTTTCTAGAATATATTAACAAATAATAAAAATATTAGGCCGAATAGAATAAATTCCCTTCCCAAAGGAACCCTGGACACCTCACATTTTCCCCTTTTTATAGTGCAGGGATCACTTTTTAAATATTCCATTTATTAGTGTAAGAATTCAAGATTCCCAATATTTATATTAAGTGAATTTAGTTAATATTATTTTCTTTATCTAACTCATCAATCTATGGAGTGAGTTTAGTGATAGAAAAAAATATTAATTTTTTTAGAGGTCTCATGTTCGAACAACTATATATATATAGTATTAATGATTAAAAAATTAGAACATATACTGTTTTGTAATTATCTTAAATCGATATTAAAATACTATAAATTCGTCTGAATTGCTTTCTTCATTGTATGCATGAATAAAGCTAAAGCAGCATTTTCGTCTTGTCCCCCATCAACATCGGAACCAAGAAAGAAGACCACAAGAAAAGATTATACTCCTGTTTTTTTATTAGTTTAAGGAAAAAGAAAAGCATCGCAGCAATGTTTGTTTGGTTCAAGTTTGAGATGCTTCATCAAATTTTCATCATTAATTCGTCCTTGTCCAATACATTTTATTACACATAAACAAACATGAATGCCTTGATTCCTCCAAGGTCGTAAACAAAAGCAATACGAAAGGTCCTTTGTCGGCTAATAATGGCCGTTGAGCAGTTTTCAAGACTCTTTCCTAGTTACCCTGTCATTTTAACCTACTGATTAGAACCAACGGTCTGAAATCCGGATTAATATTTTAACTTGAATATATACAGATGATATAAAGGGATAACTGTGGTAATAATTCAAACGACCGCACAATATATTGCAAAGAATAACATTTGATGGGCAGTAAAACCTCCTCACCTGAAGCAGTAAATTCCCAAAGCTGTTGTAATTTCATGAGTGACTGATATGGCGAAGTGCAAGTAAAATGATGCTGTTTGAAAAAAAAGAGATTATCAGGCAAAATGATAACAGTATCCCATACTCTCAAGTAATCTAAACGGACTAAATAATGAAAGCAGTTATACCTGTGAATACACAGTAACCAAGAAGAACCCAGAATTCATCTACTAAAGGAACACTGGAGAAGAAAATGGAAAAAGAAACTATTAGCATTCATGTTGATGAGGAATCGGACTTGTCAGTTCATGTTTTCATGTTAGTTTTTCATGTCCAAATCATATATTTGTTTCGTTTAATATGCATACCCTTCATTTTGTCTAGCTGTAAGAGCATTTGCAACTGCCAAAGGAAGGTATAAGAGTGACTGCATATGAAACATATAACAATTTAATGCACACATCCTTCATTCGGTTTAGCTGTAAGATCATTTGCAATTGCCAAAGGAAGACATAAGAGTGACTGCATGTGAAATATATAACAATTTAAAACACGTATCCTTCATTCAGTTTAGCTGTAGGAGCATTTGCAGTTGCCAATGGAAGGTACAAACAGCTCATGTTGGTCTAGAATGATAATAGTTCGGTCCGGTTTTTTAAAAAACCGAACAAAGTAGATAGGGACATCAAGTAAGAATTGTTACATACCATGCACATGTTTGTTTTCAATCCCTTGGGTTCATCACACAAGTGAGCCAGAATCATCCTTCCCTGTCAATAAATAACTTTCCTTCGGTAAACATATTAATTAGACTAACATATATACTCACCAACAAGCAAAGCTTACCACGAGGAACCCGAATGCGAGCCCCGTTCCTAGTACAAGTAAATGTGGGTGATTTCTCATGATATCAGAGGGCGAAACATAATCCCTTCACAATAATAATAAAAATACTACAGTTCATGTAATGCCAATATGTACAAAATAAGAACCCAACAGTCCTATTTAAATAAAAAAAAATACATGCAATTTACCAAAGCAGCACTCCTCCTATGAGTAACATTAAAGGGTGAAACTGACAAGGAAAAACAGGAAAAAAAAAACTTCAGTTGAGAATCTAAAGTATGTGTATGCAAGGATGAAAGAACGAAACAAAGAAAGGGTTAGAGAAATACCATTGCTAATGCAAGTAACATGCTTCCTTTTCTTTCTAGAATGACATTATGGACATTGCTTACACTGCAAATGAAACCGTACAACATAAGAGAAGTTAATGTTGACCTATATTATTCAATTTCAAATTCGATTTGTAGTATTTCTAGTACAATATACAGGAAGATGTGCATTTGAGCACCCTTAAACTGTTATTTTTTTTTTTCAATTTATGAGTGAGGAAGAGTTTGGATGATATAAGTATTGTATCAAAATTAAATGTTAAAAATAAAATTTTAATAAAAATGAAAAAAATATGGGAGGACAATTAATGTGAATACTTCTTACTTGCAAGCGACGGTAGGTGTAACACCAAATGCTGTCATCAAATACAGTGTAGCTTTGTTTGTTGGAATCTCTGATGTCAAAAAAAAGAAGAAAAATAAGTAAATAACTATGGTTAAACAAACTAAGGGAACCAAATCTTGATTTACATATCTTAACATATATTATGTGCTTATATTTATCGAATAAATAAAGTATATAATGATTCATGATAAGTAAAAGTTTCTTATTTAATTTATAAGTATCGAGCATAATGATAATATATATTTCAATGAAACCATTTATATTCCAACTATGAAATGATAATATTAAAAGAAATAGCTACAAATCTCGAACAAAAATATAATAAAATATATAAAAAAATATCACACCATACTTTACCTAAACTTACCATTAAGAAAAGGTACCCAACTGAACAAAGGAATGGACACTCCAAATGGCTGAGCCCACCACTCCGCACCTTGGAATGAAATATTTAGGGGGAAAAATACAATTAGAAAGAAGTGAAAACAAAATTGAATAATTAATTAGACCAGATGAGATTTTTCACACTCGTTCAAGTTCTCTCTTTCATAAATTCTGTCCCGAATTAGAATTATAAAAATCGAATAATTAATTAGGCCAGATAGATATGAGATCTTTTAAGAATTAATAGAAACCGATTAGATTTGGATTTTACCATTCCTATTTGTATATAAGATACATATTAATAACGAACACACACACACAAATTGGAAGAACATAAACGAAATTAGTAAAGTTTGAATGTGAGACACCCAATGCACAAAGAAGACAAGAAATGAGGAAACGTACCAACCCATGTTGTAAAAAGTGGCATGTATATATGAGGGCATTACCCTCTGTTGGCCCATTAATTACAGGAAGTATAAGCGTATTGGTGAAACAGCTGCATGATAAACATAGGGAGGAAAAAGAAGGTATAAGTACAAAGCAATTATAGTGTAATCAAAATAAACGAAGGGCCTGGTTTCTTACAAGGGAAACCAGATTTCATTTTACATTTTACTCACTGTTCCCATGTAGCTCCATAAAATGTAATGGCTGTGATAACCCAGAACCAGAAAGTGTCCCTCCCAGACATGGATGTGCTTCCAACAGCCATGATTACAAGCTGTAAAAATGGAGGAATTCCCATTAGCCATGAATGTCATAGTTTTACAGCAAAATGATGATCTCAATGATAACAGTAAAAAAAGTAAGCAAAAACAAACAGGGACTAACACATAATTTTATGTCAGGGACCAACTTAACAAATATATAAATTATATGAGAATATAAAATTTCAAAAGAGATCGACCGCCCCTAGTCCCATTCGATCCATCCCTGAAAACAAGTATTCATTCATGTAGAGTGGTAAAGACATACCGCACATGCAAGCGCGTCGCAGCCTGTGAAAATTTCAGGTTGGCCATGAAAACAATTGCTGAGTCAGAATTTAGTAGTAAAATGGAGGAAAATGGATGATGATGGTGAGGGATGGTACCATGATCGAAAAGTTCACCGAGTGGACCAGAGGAGTTTGTTCTTCTAGCCTGCTTCCCATCGATAGCATCAAAAGTCTAGCAAGTAGATCAATGATATATGTCAAAACAACCCCACCCCCATGTCCTGAAAAACTGAAGTAAAATGTTTACACCGGGGAAGAGGTGTGAATTACCTGATATAAAAATAAAAGTAAGCCGTGCGCAAAATGAACCCATCTTGGTGGGGGTGAATCGCAGTAAGGTGTATATATCTGGAACGGTAAAAACAAATGCTCAAGATATATATATATATATTTTTTGAAAATATTAAGGCATTTTTGAAGCACATAATGTAGATTATGGATGTAAATAAGATTATTAGATAGGATTAGATGAAATCTCAGATTAATTTATTTAATTAATTTGGATGAAAATAAAAGTTCAGTGTTTAGTTGCATATACCTAAAAGTATATTTTTATTAAACTGTTATTGTTACAAAGTTCAATTATTTTAATAATAAAATTAATTATTTTTATATTTTTATATACTTAAATATACTCATAATTAATACATAAAAAAATTTAAAAGGATAAATTATACCAAAGTCTATTACATTACGGAAGGGATGGGATGCTATGAGATTACATCTTATATTATATTATACTTGACTGTATGAATATAATGAGATGTTATAAGAGAGTTTCAGATTCTCACATAGGCGAGCAGGGCAGATACGACCAAGAACATAAATCCTGTAAGTGTTATCTTGAGAAACAAAAGCATGGCAAATTAGTAAGTAATATATGCATATGCCCTCTGTGGGTGCATTTATGTGTATGTAACGACCGGGTTCCATGACAATTCCCTCGAGCTGCCCCACATGTCTAGTTCATTTGTACTCTTCAGCATGACAAGCCACGACCTTGAGACTCATTGAACCCGGTCGATGAAAATGACGATCTAGAGTAATAAGCATTGCGTACCATGTTTGGCCTGGAGAAAATGGCGAGCAGGTGGCGTGCGTACGCATATACAAACATAAATACATTAACAGCAGCAAACACAATTTAATTTCATTCATTAAGCTATATATATGGAATTAGCACAATCGAACTCAATATTATTAACAGAAGGGGGGAAAGTGAAAGAAATTTACGGCATCCATAGAGGGAAGAAGTTGACAAGGCGGCTCCAAAATGGCTGCAATACGTATTTAGCAAGGTAAGAGTGATCCACTCCACTGTACTTGTATCTATGCAAAGCTGCTATTCCATGTGCACCTATATACCCCATTTCTCCTTGTTATTCAACTTCTCAAACCTGTACACAAAACTCGCATTGTTTAATCACTTGTATATACTGAAACGAGATTATAAAGAAATGGTATTACCGTAAATAATGGAAGAAATGGGGATTCGAAATGAAATAGCGAAAGGGATTATAGTGGCGGTTTGCTTTCATGGATTGGTGGGCTTTTTAGGCTTAATTTGTCGGTTTCGACGATGATGGATAAGGGTGCAGGTGGAGTGGTGGAGATGGAAAGACAAATTCGTATATAAGCTCTGCCAAATTTCGTTTTAGTCCTCAGTAACGTCTGATGCTTTATCCTATGTATGTGATTGTGGATTAACCAGTAATTTTTAACGTTAAATGCTTTTTTTATAATGAGAAAAATAATACTAATTTCGAAAACTAGATGGTTTAAATATTTTTCGAAAATAACTTTTCAGTCGACGGAAGAGTTTTCCTCTTAAATATAATGGGCAACCCTGAGCCAAGAACCGACGGTAGCTCCTCCTTCTGCGGTGGTTCTACAACCAGAATGGCCATGCTTTTAGGAGGAGAGTAAGCCGCGTAACGAAAGACTGGATTGGATTAGTATTTCGAGGTTGTTGGATACAGCCGTAAAACGCTAAAACTAAAGACGCTTTTTTTTATTAAAAAATACGAAATGTATTGGCAATTTATAGTATTTAAATTGCTTTTTAATTATTAAATTTATTAAAATTACAAAATAATTATTAAAATTATTAAAATGGGTTAAAATGACCAAACATTCATGTGTACAAATGAGTCATGCTGAAATAATGGTTACTGATTACACCAATATTGTATTTTTTTAAATATTGCATTACTGTTTTTATTTTTAAAATATAGTAAAAGCTATAGTGAATTTAAAGACGGATTGGAAGCATGATTTTCACTGTTTAAAAAAATATTTTGCATTAAAAAATTGAAGACGGCAGGAATGTACGATGTCTATAATATTCATGACTTAATTTAGAATAAAAAATTTTGAACCCCATAAATACATGACGTCTTAATTATTCCTAATATTTTGAAATAGTTTTTTAGAATTCCATGAATACATGGTGTCTTCACTATTATTAAATATAAGCCACATTTGTCCGTGGCTACAAACTAATCCATTGATTGATTACTGTATTAATTGAAAGGTAGAGACCGGAAACAAATACTTTTCATTTGCCATGCGGAGAGTGCATCATTACTCTAGAAGACGTGGTTATGCAAACGAGGGTCCTGGTAAATGAAAAGCTATTGATTGATCATACTAAACTCAATGCTCAGGAGCTTTGCTTAAAATATCTTAGGAATGTGCTATATGGGAGATATATAAAAGGTTCTCATATAAAAATGACTTGGTTGGAGAACGAATTTAAAATCACCGATTATAGTACGGGAGAAGAGATTACGCGTGGAGCTCGAGCATATCTTATGCAACTCATTGGAGTGATACTTATGCCAGATAGTTTTGGTAATCTGGTTCACACACATTATCTCCAATTTATGGATGAGTTTTAGGAAGTTGACATATATAGTTGGGGTTTGGCAATACTAGCATTTTTATATCGTGAGTTGTACAAGACCTCCTTATTATAAAATGGTAAAAAAAGTGTGGGCATTAATAGATGTCTACTATTATTGCAAGCATGAGTTTGACAATGACTGTCATTTTATACACCAATTACTCGAGTTTGATTCGTTTTCCTCTTATTAGAAGGTAATATTTTTATTTTAGTTTATTTTTTTACTTTAGTTTAAAATATCTTTTGCATACTATTTGTTAATTTCACATATTATTTGTTTGCAAATGGTCTGCAAACAAAGAAGCCATGGGTTAGTGCAGAACAATGTCAGAGTATTTAGATTGATTATTGATATGTATTGCAAAGATCAAGTATGTGAATGAAAAGTTATTTCATATATTATTTATTTATAATTTACTTTGGTGTGTAATCATTTATATATAATATTTACAGCTTATTTGGAGCCCATATCAAAATGATGACATATATGCAAATGTATCGGATTATTTGATGGTTGATTCTAATCTCTGGTGTACTGTTACACCAATGATTCACTTTTATGTTGTTGAGTTCCAGTTTGCAGATAGGGTGTCGAGGCAGTATGGCTTCCACTAGACCATTCCATAAATTCCAGATAATTATGATTATCTCCATGATTTAGATAGACGGGTCAGGTCCGAACATAATTGGAATGTCATACATGCTCATTGTATTGATATGTGGAATGACAGAACTCCATTGTTGCCATATTGTACTCCCATTAACATAAAGATTTTAATTGGGAGAATTTAGAGTACTTCACCTATTATATTGCGAATGGAAAATCGTACTTGACAATGATTGAATAACGACGTGAATGCTCTGACTATAAAAATAAATATGGTGGTCATAGTGAATTATCTACGAGTGAAGTAGGCATATCACGAAGTGGATTGACATCATCTTAGAATGAAGCTGTAGCAACGCAATATGCTTCAAGCCCTTGGCCGTTTACATGGAGAGATATTCTAGCAGTATTGATGGCCACATGGGAAAAGGAGCCAGTAATGGGCGACAACTCACCACATAATCAAATTTTTGATGATTCTGAAGCATACATGAATTTTCAAGAGATTAAATTTTTCATGTCTAATATGCCTATTTATAGTCCTCGAGAGAATAAAGTGGTGATTTTTTTTACAACATTGTCTCCTATGCCAACTTACAGTCTCACAGGAGAACAGAGTGGTGGTTGTTTTTTCACAACACCGGCTCTTATGCCAATTTACAGTCCCACGTGAGAACAGAGTATTGATAATTTTGTATAACATCGGCTCATGGTCGTTCAATTGCAGCTAAAATTCCTTTTCCTCTATCGGATATCAGGTAAACATGATATTCTCGAATAAAATACCCACATAAATTACTCAAAAGAAGTTCAAAGACTTCGCTGATTCCTTATCAACAATTGTGAATGCAATTCGAAAGAAATTTCGAACACCATCTTAAGCAACTACTATCAAAAATACATGTTTGTATATTCCGTATAACCATATCCCATCAATTTGGACCATACGTTTGCAAAATGTAAATCCTTCGATGCATGGCTTGAATGCCTAAAATAATCGATGGAATATTTTCTTTCCTTCTATAACTCAACATTCTAGATTGTATGCATCCAATGTTTGATACTTTACTATAGTTCATGGTATAAAATATTACATTGCTTGTAATAAAGTCAGTAGCTCATTGTAAGACTTATCATAATCATCAAACGCTAACTTTTTTGTCTTCTCCTTTGCATGCCAACCCTTGGCATATTTTATTTGATATCCAAATTGATTATTAATAGATGTTTGTATCACTGAAACGGGAACCCTTAGATTTGCTTCAACCAACATCTTCATGTGTTGATGTATTACATTTGAGTCTAATTGTTGGTGGTCTTGTTGGATGGAATTTCGTAAACATGTGTGATTGCCATTGTACTTTGTGATCACTCAAGTACTTTTCCTCTGAAGTTTAGACACTCGTGTATTTTAATTACACTCTTCTCTATATTTAACACATTTTGCAAACAAACTTCTCAAATTGGATTCTACAACAACAAAGCCCACGTGTTTTTTATGCAATACTCTTTAATTGCCAATGCAAATTCATATTTTTCATTAAATTGAATCTCAACTTATAAGTCATGAGAGTTACCCAAAGCCATATCCAGAAATTCAAGCTCCCTTGTCGCATCGTAATCTATTAAATTCATGTGAGCAAGAGGTTGATAGAATGTAATTGTATCATTGTTAGAAATAAATTCATTGTCACCAAAAATAGGGTCATTATCAATCAAATTGGGTTCCTCTCCATCATCATCACTAGAATTGGCAAGTGTTTCCCCATCGACCTCGAAGGTTTTTAACATCAACATCAATATTCAGATTAACATGTGCGTATGTCGAAGGGGAACCATATGGATGAAATGCACTAGATGTCCTACTATTGAAACCTATTTCAAATGAATTTCCAAATACATTTTTTGATGAGCCAAAAATATCATATATCTCGCGTACCTCAACATATAACTTAATAATTTGAATATTTTTTATTCATGTATTGCAATCATGCTTCCAATGTAACACCCCCAACTCGTACCCGACCCAGATCCGAGTCCGAGGTGTCACATTGACTTTTCAAAACATTTTTCTTTACACATTGACTAACTTTTAAATTCACATTTCAAGAAATGCATATTTTACATTATCTAAAATCAATTGGTTTTACAAAGCATATTAGAGCATATATAATTCAAAACATTAATTACATGACAACTACTATCAATAAAACAATATACATATAATTCAAAACCCTTTCTGATCTGATCTTTAGGAAGGAGAAGCTGACCTTCCTTGCCTTGCCTATCATTGCTTTGCTCCTCTTTTTGCTTCTCTGAACCTACGTGTGAAACACTCACACGCTAATTTGATGACTTAGTGAAGCATTAAACTTATAAAGGAAACTCTAACTACTTAACCATGCATGAATATATCATACAATGCTATCACACAAAACAATATAACATTACATATAATCAAATGTACACATATACAGATCTTTTCATGATTATCACTAACCTCGTTTCATTATCACTATTATATTCATTCGTACCTTTTAGTTATATGTTCTTATACTTAACCTTCTTAACTATCATATGATTCATTTAACCAAACAACACATTTCATATCACAAAGCATATACATCACATATATTGTATTTGTTGTTATCTCTTTATTAGCCCATGTACACATGTGAGAACTAAAGATATGTGAGTACATTGAGATTGTGCACATATGCTGTCACCACAGCTCGTATAAGGATCCACTGAGTGGCATGTGAAATCTATATCCCGAAAGACCACATATAACACATATGTCCCGAAGGACCACATACATATTTCAATGGACCAAATAGGTGTACCGAAGTACCACATATATGTTCCAAAGAATTACATATATGCCCCGAAGG